GTGCATCAAGTGCTTTGCTTTGCCTTCTGCTCTGGGATGGAATAATTCATGTGCTCCAAAATCTGATCTTTCGTAAAATTAAAAACGATTCGATGCCGTCAAAAAAGTGAGCGAACTGAAGGAAAATTTTCTTCCTCATTTTTAAAATCGTGACGTTGATCCGGATTGCGTTTAAAACTCGCCATCACGAAAGGGACGCTTCATGCGGGGCTCATCCCTCGTGGTTAATTATTGAGTCGGGTCCGGAAAGTGGGGTTTCCTTTTTTTTATGAAGGGTCGGACCCCTGTGCTTATGGTGCCCTTATATATATTTGACGGCTGTCATGAACGAGACTCACGTGTCGAACGGACGTCGGCTGTGATGAGATGTTTACATCATTTTATCGCTGCAATGTCCACTGATTTCCTCGGAATTGGATTAATCTGTATCCCCTGCGCTGAAAACGCAGAAGTAAATTCTTTATTTTTTAATTTTTGTACCGAGATTAAAATTTGCTTGGGATACCGGAAATCGAACAGTTATGAGGTGGACGAAAATACAGTACTGAAAGTAGAGTAAAAAAAAAAAACAAAAAAACAAGCGCATGCGATATTCAAGTGAAGACAGTTTTTTTCTTTTTGATTTCATACGTCAGTGAATTGTAACTTTGTCGGAAGAACTCGATTTAAATAATTGATTTAGCAGGTCACTCACTGTCGCGAAAATGTACAACCACCTGTTGCAACAGGTTCAAAAGCAAACCCCCTCCCCCCACCCTATTTGTGATGGACTTTTATTGCATGACTCATCGCCTCATCTGTGATAACACACTTGGTTAGGAATTCGAGACCTTCTCATTATGTCTGTCACGCATCCGGAAAACAGGTGTGTTTCCCTTGAATTCCCGGAGGGGTCGTCCAGCAAGTTTAGTGTTGGATCAATACTGGTTCGGGTTTCTGGAACTGTAGTTTCGTAACGAGGGCTAAAAATAGCTACTGTTGATGGTTAAATTTGCTTTCATCACCCCGATTTCATATGTTTTCGTTTTATGTTCTTTCCTGCGGTCTACTGAATACAGTACTTTTTAATGTATGGATCCAACATCCAAGTTAAGTGCGGCTAACATGTTGATGGTTTTGCTTACATGTCCAAGGAACACTCATTCGAGAGATACATATTGAACTAACCAGGATTTTTATTTATTTTCAACACTGTCAAAATTGTGCTCTGATGAGACCTAACTTATCACTGAATTTGAATGCTCCACTTTCTAAATGAATTAATATTCAAGGCACCATTGGGTTTACTTATAATGTACGGTTGAACGTTCTTCCAAGTTTAATTTTAAATGGCACACAAAAGTATAATTGAGGAGTTTTTGAGTCATGGACTTAGTTTTCCTTTGGATAGGTTGATAAATTGATATTATTTTCTGGCCAAATTATTCGCAATGTTCATTATTCACAGATGTCATATCTTGAGAAAGATTCCTGATCCCTTGTTGACAGCATGAATAAAAATACTTCCAGTCTGCTCTTAAGATTTTCTGGAAAAAGGTTTTTTAAAATTCAGTCCCACTTTATTAACAAGAAGGCTTAACATTTTCAACTAAGGAAAGGTCAGACCAAAAATTTGTGAAGTTGTGGAGGCTTGAATTAAATTTGGACTTACAAATTTGCCAGGAATTAATGACTGACAATTTAAATGAGTGATGCTTGATTCGGCAAGTTCCAACCGTCCGTGACTTCTAAAATGAATAAGTGAGGCTGGTTTGACTACTTATTCATGATTTCTTCATCTGGTAATTGGGGGAATTGCGTTTGTGATGCTTTTTTTTTAATTGGGCAGTTTTCCAACCGCAACCCGGAAATGAGCATTCAATTGCATAAATTAATGTTTTAAAATTATATTTGAATATCCGGATTGATGAACGAAGCAACTTTGAGCGAAGTGAATCAAGTGAGGGAACGACGTTTCAAGCTACTGAATGCAGAGACTAATTCTTGTCATTTTTTGTTTTGTAAAGCAAACATTCATGTTTAGGATTTCTATTGGCATTTTGTGGAGGGAATTGCATGCTTAATGATGATCAGACAGCTGGATTTTAGCTATCCCTTTTTTATGGCTTGGTAGTTGAAAAATATAATACTGTACCACGTACAGTAAATCCCTTGAAAGCGTCTTTTTTTTAGAAGTCCTTTTCCCATTTTCGAAATTGAGGTGGAGTCACAAGCTGTGATGAATATCGATTATCACTCAGCTGCTGAGTGTCTCTTATTTTGTAAGAGATTCTCTGGGGAGAAAAGAAGATACAGTGCTTTATGATGTATTTGACCTAAGAACAGCGTGGTTCTTTTTACGGAATTTAGCGACTTCACAGCAGATCATATTTTTCTCCTATCGTTGAAATGAAATTCGTGTTCGCACTATTTTGGAAAAATCACGCCGTGCACCATGATTTGATACCATATTCATCAACAATAAAGTTCGAATATTCCGTTGGTTTGCTGCAGTAATCTAGCTATTTTTTTTCAATTTCTTATTGGAAGAAAGTACTGTATGTTCAGTGATCATTACGAAGGTTCGATTTTATCCCGTTCTGCACTTCGCCGGCTTCTGGTAAAACCGTTCCCAAAGGTTCATTTATCGTCAAAACGGCCGAAAGATAAAACAACGGTGTGCTAATGACATTTTCAAAAAATTGCACGAAACATTACAACTCGAATCCCCATGAAACCGCAGAAAACTGATCACAATTGTTTCAGCTCCGTTACAATAACCTTGAACGATCTCCAGAGCTGGGTAGAAACAAAAAAGTAAAGATCGCAGAATGTTATTTTTTTTTAGTTTTTGAAGAACATGTGAAATGAGTGGAATTTTCTTGGCTTTTTTTTTGAGCCGATGTTCTTTCATTCGAGTCTCCGTTGGGTTTTGTGTAATGTTACTCAAACACGGGTGAGTCATGGTCAGTAGAAAGGAATAATGTTCAATGATTTAGATAGCATCTGTCGAATTCCCTAGGGAAACTTCTTCTTTTCATAGTCTGAGGCTCAATGCGCTGTATATACTAAGGATAATCCAGGCACCAGGGGGGGAAGACCAAGGGGGAGCATGGGGGTATTTTTCTGCGAAAATGGAGGAATTTTTTCCTGGGTCTTCAGGGTTACCAGGGGATTGTAAATTTCCCAAGGCTTTGCCTTCTTTTATTCCTTTGATTTTATGAAATTGATTTGATTGCCTTCGTTTGATTACCATAACATTGAAGGAACCTCGCTTTCACTATGTGCTGGTTAACTTGCAAGTTTCAATGCAAACCAATGTATTTACAGAACTTGAATTTTATGCGCACCTTTTTTTCTTGAAATATGTGCAGAAAATGGGATGTATGTCATACTTGGATTAAGTTTTTCACACATTTTTGAGCGCATAATAATATACTGTACTCAAATCACAGGATCAATTTTCAAGAAAGCTACTTCGGCCTCTTCATATTTTAAACTCCTGTATTATTGAATTCTGAATTTAAATTTGCACCTGTTACGGATTTTAATGCAGTATTGAATTGACTGATCATCAAAAAATAACTGGGGTGTGCGCTTTATTCAGGGATACATTTATGCATCAGATTTCCTCTGAAATAATGAGATTTGCATATTACTCAAAGGTATGTGGTACTCAAGTAAATATAGTAACTTAGAATCTAACCATTTGCTGGTATTTATGTTTTGTATTTTTTTTACATGCTGACATGCAATATAATGTGGGGAATTCACTAAATTTGCAGCATTTATGTCTCGCTTGCTGATGATCCATTTGTGCAACATCATCTAAGTTCAGCCAATATCATGTGATTGAGGTTAGAACCTCAGAGAAGGGTTTCTTTGTGTGTGCTCAACTTCGCAATGCGAGTGACTATTCTGTAAATTTCGAATTATTAATGCTGTAATCCAACGAGTGAACGAATGGTCTTGAAGTTCACTTATGAGTCATCAATTATGCAGACATATGCTGACGAATTACTTCATTATAATCTCTGGCAGGCTTAATAGCTGAATTTAGATGGCTATTTTTTAACGGTTTCTATCTTTGTATGCAATTTAATAACTTCTGTTTTTGCGGGTGCAGTGGCAACACTGGTAATTTAAGATCTGCTCGGTGTCCCATTGGGATCGCGGAAGTATAGAAATGCTGTTGCGGATAGACTGCAACACATTTTCCTGCCCGAAAGGAAAGCATCAAATTGAAAATAGTCTTATTTTCTTTGAGAAAATGTAGTTGGTTTTTCGTCTTTGAAAATAAAATGTTCTTGGAATGGATGTTTGAAATGGAAGCGAAGAACATGGAAGTTTCGAACGCGCTGCGGCAACTCATGAGACGTGTCGAAGAAAGTGAGTTTCCTGCATAGGAATTTAATATCGGCGCTTCCTAATAATCCTATCTTAAAATGCAAGTCCATGCATTAAATTTTGTTTGACTCATTTTGAATATTTTGAGGGAATTCAGCTATATAGGAATAAAATAAACTCCGTTGTTCATTTCAGTTGAAATGCCCGGATTATGAAGTGAGATGCAATAACTCAGAGAATTGCCTCTGAAGCAAAACGTCCGTCGAACCTCTTTGTCTCCCAAAATTCAAGTCTGAAATTCTCTGCTGCGATTTAACGCAGGTATGTCGTGATTATTCTCTCATTCGAAGCGAAGCGTTTAAATAAATACCGTAAGACGCAACTTCCAGCAAAATTCCTGATGACGAGTGTCGAAGATCGCGATTTGAAGAGTGCATCGATGATGAGCCTGCCATCGTGTCCAGGCCACATATAGGGCATCACACGAACCCACTTTTCCCCCATCACGTTTATATAGCTTCCAACTTAGTGCTCTGTATAAGTCTAAGCTGGCACCGTTTTCTAACATTATGCTTTCGCTCCCCCTTCCCTATGTGTCAGAAACACTTGTGCCTGCGGGGAACAAGTGACGAACGACGAGGAGGGCTCATTGCGATATCCCCCCCCCCACTCTCTGTTTCCTCAGGGGAAAAAAAGGTGCCATCATGAACGACAGAGTTCAGAAACCCGGTGTCGCGAACAGTGACAACAAGTGTTACTCGTATCTTGCGCGAATGTTTCGTTGTTCTCGACAAGATTCGCAGGAAGATGCGAATGTGGGAATTGCAGATACCCCTCAAACCATGGATGCGAGTGCGGGGATTGAAGATGATAACCCTCAAGCTGCGGCATTGTTAGACCGAACACCGCCGCCGAACGTTAACCCTGAAATCTGGTCAGTTCTACCACGAAAACGTAAACTGTTAGAACAGAGTCGCCATGGTTTAAGAGTGCTTGAAATCGTGAAACATTTTGTCTTCGAATTTTGTGCTGCGCATTGACGAGTCATACGAGTGTTGTGCCCATCAGTGATACTTCATCTCCAGAATAGGGATTATCTATTGACTACAAGGATGAAATGTGTTTCAATTTTATCGGTGTTTGATGTTTGACATTTACATTGTTCAACACGAGGACCGAAAAGCTATTTTAATTACCCAGAAGTATATGGAAACGCTCGATGCTTTTGTCTCGACCATGATGCATGGGTGATTCAAGGGATAATCATTATCTGCTCATGTTCAAAGTAGTTTTGGTGTATTTCCGTAAAGATAATTAACTCACTGTGTATTTTTACTAGAGTATGCGGTAAAAAAAAAAGGTCCGTGACTCCTTCGCAAATTTCAAAGATCCAATCCGATTCCATAAAAACATACGTAACTATATATTTGACTAAAATTCGACGTGATTGAGAAGCTATTTCTTCGTTTCCTCCTGTGCTGGACGGAGACTTCGTGTATTCCTTGATGAAACATCTCGCAAACCTTCTGTGTTTTTTTTTTTTCAGGAGAAACCTTCCGAGTCCGAGAAGCATGAGGAATTGGAAAACTGCGGATGGAATGTTGCGATGTTTGGAGCATCCTGGTGGTTCAGCGGCTTTTAGGGATTTCCTTGAGAAGAACCACTACAGCAATGCCGTGATAGCAGTTCTTGGGTTAGTTTTTTCGTGAAATTATGGGCTGTTAACTTTGTGTGATGGTATAACGGAAATTGAATTCACTGAAGTGATACTCCGATATAGGAACGTGTCTTCTATGCATAAATAGGCGCTAAGCAATTTACAGTGAATCATGATGAGAGTCGTGCGTTTGGGCCCATATCCCTGACTTAGTGAAGAAAATACTGCGTGGTTGTATGATTTCGATATGATTTTGAGAAAATATCAGAATTTTTGGAGAATTTACCTCGTTTCCCTCAAGACAAGCTGAAGAACGATTTGGTAAAATAAACCCGCGCGAGAATGATTTTTAGGCACATTTTCAAAAATGTGGCCTATATACCTGAGAAAATTAGTCCCAGCATAATAGAGTTGAACTCGGTTTATATGACTGTCGCACGTGTGAGGTTGGTACCGGATTTTTTGGTCACGAGCTATGAATACATCCCCGAAGAAGCTCTCATGACTTCATTCAATGCCGTGATGTGCTTTACTGTACAATTTTTGCTGAATGAATGTTAATTGTTTATTCTTACCGTTGTTATGTTGGAGCTGGAGAGTTTCTGTGGAGAAATTCGTTCGGAGATGCAGGAAAAGATAGTGGAAGTATCAGAAAGCATACTGAAAAAAAAGCTGCTAGTAGACTTTCTCTACAACGATTTTTTCTGCGCAACGATTTTTCGGCCCCTTGGGATTTTATAAATATAGGGGTTATCAACAAAAAAATACTGTCTCTATTGCATTTTTTCTGGTGCCTTGAATTTTGTTATACTGTGTATTGAGAGTTCACCTTTGTTTTTAATTTTGGTCTTAAGCTACGAAGTTCTTTTTTTATATTTTGGACTCTTGATTGATTCCTGGAATATTTCGCAGATTTGTCCTGAGAGTCCAGAATTACAGAGGAGCATTTGCGTCCACAAGACAAGCTTCGGCTAATGAAATTTTCAACACTTATTTGTCATCCACTGCCCAAGACCAGATCGAAATCAATGATTTAACCGCTATTAGAAACGCTCGAACAGCCATCAATGCACAAGACTTCCGTGATGATCTTTTCGACACACTCGTCAGAGAAGCCATATCCTCTGGAGATCTTCAGAACGCATTCAGATTGTTCCTGAATTCAGACCTCGTGGATTATGCTACAGGGCGAGGGCAGAGTTGTGTGCCGAGTGAACGAACCCGAATGTTGGCGTCGGAATGAAGCGATCCATCATGCAGTGTCGTATTCCGAGAAAACATTTTGTGGTGATGTGATTCCTTCTCTTTGATATCGTCGTTCAACAGAGCTGTCTGGGTTGTATTATTGCAGGTAAGGGGCATTGTTGCGAAATATTTTCTGATGGACAGTCGTGTGAGATGATGATGACGAAGCATGAACAGGGATGGGTCTCGTTATAATTGCGGGGATCCTTCTGAGTTTGAAGCCAATTGATGACCAACGTGTCATTTGACGTGTTTCTAACGAAATGTGCCTTGTAGACGGTTCGTGAATTTCTCCGAGGTTTTATTGCTTTGCTTGAGATTACTTTCCGATTACCGCAGCTGGAGTACGCATGAAACGGGACAAAGAATGGGAAGTTTACAGCGACATCTACATTTCAAAAATGTGGCGTTAAAATTTCAATACCCTTCGTATTCAGGTCCTCGAGGACGAGATGTCAATCATTGGCGTTGAATTCGTGGGATCTCCAAGCTAGCTTGTGATGATCGCAGTTCTTAAAAACATCCTTATTGAAACTTTCAATCTTCGAACTGTTGGACATTTTTTTGTGTTACCACTTTCTTGGGGAATTGTTTACGTGGTGTATAGTTTTGTATATCATGCATTTCAAGCCGTTCGACCGGCGGAAAATAAATTAAGTTGATTTTCGAAAGTTGGTCGTCTTCCCTTTTTTTGCTGATTTTTCCTGGCCTTTCGTGTAAGTGTGTTTTCTCTGTTTGCGAAGCAATTTGGTTTTCCGTGTGCTGAGACGCACAGCAGAGAACGGGTCGGTATTTGTCGTGGCTTTTTGTTTTCGTTGCAAATAACCTCAAATTTTTTGGTCCCATGCATTTTGAGTCGAAGTATTCTAAAACTCCGCGAGACCGATAAAAATTGAAAATACTCCCTCTTTCGTTTACATGCATGAAATCTTCGAACATATGTGGCTTGCCGCTTCATGCTGTTGATGAAACCATAATATGTTTTAAAGTTCATGGGGTTTTCTTAATTATGTTTCTACGATTACGTCGTGATGAAATTGACGTTGTAGACTGGAAAATTAGGTATTTATTCTAAACGGAGATGATTTTTTGTTATTCAGTGAAGTGTTAGAAAAATAAAACGATGATATTTAACCGTTTTTTTGAGACTGTAACAGAGTACACCTGCTTACCGGCAGTACCTGAGTACAGTACATGAATACTCTCGTAAAACTTGATCATGTCAAATGTATTTCATGTTTCTTCTTCTTGCGCTCTGTGAATTCGAGAATTCCTGAAAATGAGTGAGGACTGTAGCACATGTGTGTTGTCATTCAAGAATATGTCGTAGGGGGGATTTTTTAGCGCTTACTTTATCTAGGGGAAAATCCGGCGGAAAGAAACCGTAAAATCATGCTTGACTTGCAGATTTTATGTCGAAGTATTGGAAATCACCAAATGTCCCTTCCTCGAAAACGGAAATTCGAGGCAGTCCCACGCGAAATGAACGGATATGTGAAAACTGTTACGACTTCACTTTGTATTCCATGGGATTATAAATGCGATTGTTCTGAATATGTCTCGGTTTTATATAGAGAACACACCATGTGTTTTGCTAAATTCAATAATTTGTACCTGGACAAGATTTCATATAGCCTCTCTTTTTCGTTTGTTTTATTCCGAAAATATAAAATCTCTATCGAAATATTTTTAATTCGTTTTATTTCCGAAAATATGTCTCTAACAGCACCTCGTCTAAAACGGAAGCGCAAAGCAAGTCACGGGCTTTCTCTTTATTGGGGGTTTCTCTTTCCCCGCGGAGCAACAATAAATTGTTTCTGCTGTGGGTTCGGGACCCGTTAATTGGGATAAAGTGTGCTTGCCTCAAGTTTCGACCATTAATTTTTTTGCGTGTGTGTGTGTGACTCTTCAGCAGCTCGGAGGAATCGAATGCAAACAACCCTTCATCAGATAGTGGATGGTTGCCCCAAATTTCTTAGGGGTTGCGGAATATTCTGTTGATTTGTCTCTGCCCTGGTCGCGTTAGTTGCATGTGTGCTGCCAAACAGCGTCATTGAAAAAATTGCTTGTGGACATATTCTTTTCATTTGAAAATAAATAAGAAATGAATATTTTGGAAATTGTCGTATTTAAAATTTAAAAAGCCTTTGGAATCGTAGTTCCTAGCAATTTAGCATTAAAGTATAGAATTTTTTTATTTTTTCAAGCGCGGGAATTTTGCAATTATTATGAAATGATTCGATTTATTTTTGCCCTGATCAATTGTGAACTGCTGTTGATGTAACTGAACAACAACAAAAGAGCATTGAAGGAGTGTTATTGTGAAATTAATTTCCACAGCAATAGATTTGTGAAGGAATGGATTCCGAAGGCAAGAAACCCAGTCTCACTCAAATAAAAGTTGAAAGCGCAATCCCCAAAATTCGGCAAGAAAAACTGAAATGGAATGGCTGGGGTTACAAAGATGCAGGGTTCTTCATCAGCGACAACTTGGAAGATACACACTTTGAAGGAGACGGGTGAGCTAATTTAGTGTAATTACAGTGTTTTACTGTTTAAGTACTGTATAATCATACTGTACTACTGGATTCAGCAAAAATATTGAAATAAATAGTTTTATATATTAAAACACGTTCGACCTCTCTAACCTGAAAACCTCCTTATGTTGAATTTCCGATGAGCCCCCATTAAAATTCCATTAACTGATGCTTTTCATTAGAAATTGAGTGATAAATGTACAATACGATACCTGTGTACAGTAGTTTATTATACTGTATATTGTTAACCCATTTACTCATCAGTTTTAGGTGCAGATGATCACCAATTTTATCATGCAGTGTTTTCCAGCAGAATTGCCAGCTTCCCTGGCTTGAGAACTCCTGGAAGTCAAATTTGTGTCTGTATATATGAGCTTGAATCAAGAGTTTCACTTCTGTGTGTTCAGTCAAAAATTTTCTTTAACACATTAACTTACTTTTGTTAGAATTTCAATGACTTGAATATTAGGTTTGTTGTTGAATATACATTAGTTGCTTAGATTTAAGAGAATACAAGATGAGTCATTGATAGTTTTTCATAATTGTTTGTGAAGGTATCCCTTGGATGGAGAGTATTTGCCAACTTTTATGCGCTATGCAGAAGAAAGACTCGGCATTGACAAAAACGCTGGACTGGTGAAGCCTGTGGCCCTCCCTTCTGAAGACCAGTATCCGATTTCAAAGGCATCTGAAGGTTACCTTTGCAGTATTTTTTCACAAATAAAAAACAGACGTTGATCGTGCCTTGCTTTTCCTCCGCCAAATTGCAGAGCTCAAGAAGGATTTAACGGATCGGAAGATTTCATTTTCCGTCCGAGGGGAAGACAGGTTGATCAGATCACATGGTCACACCCTGAGGGAAATTTATGCCTTGAGAAACGGTCAGATCAAACGGATTCCGGACATCGTTGTTTGGCCAGGTAACAAGAGGTTTTTTTCACATTTTCGTTTTTCAAATTAGGGTGCAGTATTTACTTGAAGTACCATTTATTCAACCTGCTCGAGTAAAATGCATGTCCTCATTTTCCCGCATATAATTTGGATAGAAACGTTAATATTCATGAATAAGATGCGCATCACATTTCAGTGACTGAAAAAATAATTCAAAACAATATTCTGAAAATAAGATACTTCACATCAGAACTTTATTTTTGACTTTTATTGAATTTAACCGGGATTCAAGTGATTTTCAATCGGTTCACGTTTTGAAAAATTGTTGATTCAAGTGGTAACAATATTTTCTTATTAGAAATTTTCAATCAACAGTATCACATAGTACAGCAGTACTGTACAACTAGACTTCTAAAATTTTGACAAATTGTGTATCCACCTATGATGCACACCCGTGGTAATTGAATATACTGTACATTAAAAACATTTCTTTGTAAAAGGTTTGATCATCTTGTCTGTGTCAATTTTCACACGACACATCAACATCAGGAACGTCTGGTGCAGTGACAATAACCCACCGTAGCCAAAAAAAAAAAAAAAAAAAACTGGAGAATTGGAAATAAGTTGCGCTTGAGCATGAAAGAAACGGTGTACCATAATAATCGCAAGGAATAAATTAATCTTCATCACATGAACCTTTACGAAATGCTGTACAGAAAAATTCAGGAGCTCTTGCGGAACAATAATTTCCTCACTATCTTCTAATGTCATGAACGTGATCGCGTGCGTTCAGTGATGTTTTATAGTTCCAGTTTATTCGAATCTGCGCAGTTCTTTTTTCGTTTGTTGCTTCATCTCCATCTGTAAAGAAACTTCTACTGTTATCCTGAAAACCTCTTTTTCTTTCAGAATGTCACCAAAACGTGGTGGACTTGGTGAAACTGGCGGACGAACGGAACGTGGTCATCATCCCGTTCGGCGGCGGAACAAGCGTCACTTTGGCAGTAGAATGTCCAGAACATGAACAACGTCCGATTCTTTCTTTGGACACTTCTCAGATGAACAAGATCCTGTGGATTGACCGAGAAAATCTCGTGGCCCGATTCGAAAGTGGAATCATAGGTCAGGACTTGGAGCGGGAAATGAACAAGTTGGGCTACACTGTTGGACACGAACCTGATTCTCTGGAATTTTCCAGGTTATTCGTATGCTATATTTCATTTTTAAAATGTCGAATTTTTAAAAATGCAATGCGTAATATATGATACGGTCTCTGTTGTGAGTCAAAATTGAAGGGACCAACAAGAACTTCGAGTTGGATGAGAGGTTAGAGAAACTATAGGTATAAAAGTGATTGCTGTGAATTTTAAATGAAGTAATTGGGACTAAAATTTTTACTGCTACTATGTGTAGTTTGTCCAAGAGCATTTCCTTTTAATTAAACCCAATACTAAAGAATGGCTAACCAACGGTTTTAATAAGAAAGACTAAGAAAACTTTTTTCCATGGTTTTTAAACATAATTTCATTGATGTGCATTCTCGTATTTCTCCTCCCCCGGCCTCCAGCAGAGGAAGCAAAATGAAATTGATTCAAATTAATATTGATCATTCTCCGCATTTTTTCTCGATTTGAGATTTCTGAAGCTTGAAAAAGTATGCCACAATCTGTGGCATAGGGTGGAGTAGAATTTTTTCGCTTCATTTTTTCATCAGGTGTGAAATTATATTAATTCCTCAGCTTTTTTCTTTTATTTTTGCAGCTTGGGAGGTTGGGTAGCAACAAGGGCTTCGGGAATGAAGAAAAGCGTCTACGGAAACATAGAGGACTTGATCGTACACTTCACTGCAGTTACGCCGAAGGGAGTCGTGTCAAAGTCCTGCTCAGTTCCTCGGATTTCATCCGGACCAGATTTGCACCAATTCTTTCTGGGTTCCGAAGGTATAATGAAGAAGATGCTGTAGTTCACTTGAATCTCAAAAACTGAACTTCGAAATTCTTTGTTTAAAAATGATATTGTACAATGCATTTCAACAGGAACTCTTGGTGTTATAACGGAAGTCACCCTGAAAATCCGCCCATTGCCGGCTGTTAAAAAATTCGGTTCCTTGGCGTTCCCCAGCATAGAAGCTGGTGTGAATTGTCTCCGGGAAATCGCGGCCAAGGTGACTTAATTGTTTTAAAATCAACGAGTTTGATTGTTGATAATCCTCCGTTAGGAGCAATCAATCACCATTAGGAACAATGTTTTCTTTGCATTATTTAGAAAATATTCCCGGCATCAATTCGTCTGATGGACAACAACCAATTCGTGTTCGGTGAGTTCTGAACAGTGTAAGGGCGGATAATTCGTAGAACTGCAGCAATAAAATGCGCTGTATCACATGGTGTGACTCAGCCGAAATTCTGTAGCAGCATCTAACATGAAAAAAAATTCAAATTTTCAAGGGACCAGAAAAAATTGAGCCAGGGGAAACAAGCATTTGTTGCTGGGGAAAGAAAAATAATTATTACAGGAAACTGTTATTGGTGATGATTCTGATGGAACTTGAATTGCTTCTTAAATTAATCGACTGGATGCTGAACTATAGACAAGGATTCATTTTTGTCAAATTAGTCTTTCTCTTTCCTGTGCTGTCAATAAAATAAAAAGCAAAAAGGCCACCAGAAATATTGAACTATGATGGAAGTTTGAGGGGGAAAGCCTTTGAACTACGGGAGTTTTTAATGCGTGGCCTCTAAAAAAATTCAGACAGGGATTTGAAAGAAAAGAATTCGAAAAAATGGAGGACTTAAAGAGGGTTGATGAGTCATCAAGGTTCAATTGCCGCAATTAACAGCGTCACTGGAACAGGCTCTCAATTTGCACTCACATCATCATTCTATGTTTTCATGCACGCAGCACATGCGATTAAGCCGCAAATGGGTTCATTGAAGAAGATGATGGATTCGCTCAAGAAGACCTACTTGGCCTACTTCAAGGGATTCGATCTTTCGGAAATGGCGGTGGCGACTCTGCTCTTTGAGGGCGAGTGTCCTGAGACAGTGAAGCTCCAGGAAAGGAAGGTGCTGGAAATTGCGGCCAAACATGGCGGACTACCGGGTGGTGAAGAAAATGGGAAGAGAGGATACCTGCTCACCTTCGTCATTGCTTACATTCGGGTGCGTTTTTCTCTTGGGCCTTCTGCTTGAAAAATTTCCGAAAGCTTTCTCCAAATTTGTGAATTTGCCCGGACAATTTTTGGTTCGAAGATACTAAGTCTTCACGTCAAAAATAATAATCAGTTCTTAACGGGAAATGCTTTTTTCTAGGATTTTTTCACGACACGATTTTCAGTCTATCATTTTGTGGATCATTTTGGGTTCATGTAGAATCAGCATATATGCACAGCAGCATATAGTAGTTTTTCTAGCCAGGGGACCCATCTTATTATACTTAGTTGTTTTATTTTATTTTATGAATGATAGTCACCAATTTAGCACTGATGGAGCATCACGCTATCATTCCTTGGTAGGAATAAATAACCAGAACTTCCAACGCAGAGATAAAATCATGCAGTATTTTCCGTTCTTTCGAAATCCGAAGGATGCGGGGTTTGATCTCGGGATTCTGGCAGAATCGTTTGAAACCTCAGTGCCATGGGACAGAGTCATGATCGTTTACAACAACGTCATTCAAAGGATGAAGAGTGAATGTTCCAGTAAGTACCCTTTTGTGGTATACATGCATTGGAGATGTCTGGATCTGACAATTTAACATTTCAAGATTGTGCATATTCAGTAAAATTTCGTTATAGGTAAGCCTATGGAAACCGGAAAAGAAACCTTCTTTTTGACGAACATTTTGTTTTTAATGAGCCCTCTGATGTACGATATTCGCATTTATTGGAGGAACCCCAAAAATGGATTCTTGCAATAATTCGAAACCATGATATATTACGTGTAGTTTCGAGATTTTACTAACATATATGCATGCACTTCCTATATCAATGGAAATCCTACAGTGGATGCGCAATAATCTTATTTAAATTTATGCTGTAACGCTATCTCGCGTAAAATTAATTTATGAATACGAGGCTAGTCGTCCCTTTTGAACGCAATGACCGCTGATTTTTTAGAGCAGGTGTGTTTGTAAAAAAAACATCATGGCATAGCTCATATAATGTTCTAAGGTTCTGGGATTTTTCTGGATTCTTGAAAAGTTTTTCAATTTACTGATAAAAAGTGAAAACTTTCCAGTTACAGCCTTAGTACTTCTCCACCCATTTCACAGGGGTTATAATTTTGTCAGGCTTGCTGAAAATTTGATTGGCTGTTGTTTTGACCATTGTCTAAAATTTAGAAAAGATAATGGGTGAAAAAAAATATTTATATTTTTTTGCTGGCCTAAAATTTTTTAGCACCCTGTTAGAAGGTTGGGAAAGTCGGGAGGTAACTGCTGAAAAGTTGTCACTTACCATCATGCAGTAGATTGCAATTTTTCTAATCGGAAAAAATCCAAAAATCTTGGAACATTATGGGCTCTGATGGCACGCATTTTTCTAACGATCCGACCTGCTCTAGAAAAATCAGAGAGGCTACGTCCAAATGCAAGGGGCAACCCTCCTATATAGTAATGTACCGTTTAGTATAAAGCAGTCTTTCCAGAGGAGGACCTATTTTTCGTTGGTATTGTCTGAAACGAACGAAAAACTTCTCGTTTTTACAGAAAGAGGAATCAAGACACCGAGCCTGAGTTGCAGAGTTACGCAATCCTACGAAGCTGGTGCCGCCATGTATTTTTATTTTGGATTTGAATACCGCAGCTTGAATGTCGAAGATCCCGTTGGACTGTACGAGGAAATTGAGGTACAGTATATATTAGCGCATTTAAATTTCTTCATTCAAACTCGATAGTTCCGACTATCCGTATAATTAAAAATATATTCATAAACATTCTGAAATTTCTTACACCCGAGAAAAAATCGACATCATCGAAAAATCATCATTACCAAAATTTTGCGCTTGAATTTAGTTTGAAAGGTTCTGAAAAAAATACGGATGGTATCAAATCCCAGTGTCCTCATAACGTCAAAAGATAAAGGACATTGAGAGAGAGACAGATTTAATTTCTGACAATTTAGTTCGGAAGAAAATAGTACTGTATTGGATAGTCCATGAAATCATCACACCGTTTTTAAATACTGTGCCTTTTCCTCAGCCAGCTTGTCATAGAGCATTTCTCGTCTCCGGGTGTTTCAATAAGAACTGCTCCCTCCCTTTGACTTCAGATTTATGTTGTCCGTGAGAAAGAATCATTTTTAAGAAGGTTCGAATCTTCTACATGAAGCACGTGGATGTTGTTACGATGCTCTTGACAGTTATTATGACAATTAGCCGAGGAGGAAAAACAGAAGTGTAGAACATATCAAAGGGAGAAAAAAAAACCCATTCTGTGAGTTTATGGGGGGTGCATGCACTTTACTCAAGAAGGATTGACAGTGTGACTAATGATGCACCAGGTGTGGGGCAAGTTGTGCCATCTCTACTGCCAATTTTAGGGTGCAGTAATCGTCTTGTTGTGATGGAATTGTGTAGTGGGGGGTGGTGCTGAGATTCATTTGCGCGCGAAAAGAGAGCTTAAACTGCTGGGAAACGTTGGACGAGACACCAGCAGGTCTAATTTCTAAAAAAGGATAGCAAAACAGACTCCGCTTAAGAGATACCAAATAAAAAGGTCATAAAATGTATACAAAGACTGAAGTACTCACGTCTTAAAGAAAAAAGGGATCTATCTATATATAGAAAAACTTCGTCAAAAAGAGACGATTGAATATCCTTGACCTAATATTCCCAATGCACATCTGCAAATAAGCAGAACAAAATGACGGCGAAGAAGAATTGCCGAGAGATTTATGTTTTCAAAAAAGCTGTACATTTGGCTTGTAACGCGATACAGCGTGCAAAAATAGGATGCCGAAAGCTTCTCAGACTTCAAGCCTTTTCATTCCATTATTCTCTTCTCAAGTTCTTCTTCCAATGTGAGAATAAGAAGTTGATACATACATATCTTGCTGTTGATACATTGTTTTCTGTACATTTTGGATGCCTCCTCGAATAATAGAAGAATCTAAATATTTCGTGCAATGAAGATCGGTTCATTGATCGATAATCGTTGGAATTTTTCAGCATAATTTGCGAGATGAAGTTATGAGATGCGGAGGCAGCATTTCTCATCATCACGGCGTCGGGAAGCTGAGAAAGCAATTCATGGAGCGAAGTGTGTCAAAGCCTGGGGTTGAATTGTTGCGGGGACTCAAGAAAGCAGTGGATCCGAAAAATATCTTCGCTTCTGGAAACCTGATTGATTTCAACAACCCCGACACAACTGATGAAAACCATGAACTTATGTCCAAGCTATAACCATATCATCATAAAGAGACCCATTACTAAATGAAATATATTCCTTACGAAGTGAAGACTGTATGCAAAGCATTTTCTGTTGCACATTCTTCTTATTGAAAACTGGATACACTGTATCATCTGCTGGGCTATTAAAATATCGTCTGTGGACTCCTTCACGGCTGATCATCACCGACTTTTACTCATTCCGCGTGGGTTATTTGCTGTCGCGATATCTCGTGATCACTGGCGAGACGAAATTGAGATGCACGAACTACAGTCTCATGGATGCCACGAGCAAACTAATACGAAATAACGCCTATGATCAATGCTCAAACTTGTTCCGCGTGAATCGTGGAACAAAAACTAATCCGAAAGCGGAACCGAATCCAAAACTAAACGTCCATTAGTTTTTGCGGGGTTTGTAACGGGTCCCCGCGCGACGAAAGCCCGGGACACGAAAGCCCCGCGCGACAATAGCCCTGACACGAAATCCCCGCCATACCGGCGCACAGCTGTAACGAAAGCCCCGCCCAAACTTTTTTTCAGGACTGGTAGTCTTCATTAGTCAGTTTGGTAGTCGCCGCTGGTTAAACTTCATTACTTTGCTACTGATTGAGGGAAGTACACAAGCTCTTGAAGAAAAACAATGATTTAAAAAATAATGAAACAAAACAAATAACAAAGTACAGTATTACAAAAAAATTCAAAAAAAAAGAAAAAACGGGAAAAAGTTTTTATTTACAAGAAATTAAGAGTCTTTGAAATATTTTCCAAGAAATCTGAACGTTCAATAAGTCGGCTTTGATAATCTTTGCACAATTGACGCAGTTTTTTCTGGTGACCTCTCTCAAAAGTTGACACTAAAAAATCCCACCATTTGGTTACTCATTTGCTGCCTGAAACAAGACGCTGCATCAGTTGCTACAACGCTGAAGAAATTTGACAAATATGGTGTCATTCCACATAAGCAAGTGTCGACTTTTGAGAGAGGTCACCAGAAAAAGCTGCGTCAATTGTGCAAAGATTATCAAAGCCGACTTGTTGAACGTTCAGATTTCTTGGAAAATATTTCAAAGACTCTTAATTTCTTGTAAATAAAAAAAACTGCGTCAATTGTGCAAAGATTATCAAAGCCGACTTATTGAACGTTCAGATTTCTTGGAAAATATTTCAAAGACTCTTAATTTCTTGTAAATAAAAACTTTTTCCCGTTTTTTCTTTTTTTTGATTTTTTTTGTAATATTTTGTTATTTGTTTTGTTTCATTATTTTTTAAATCATTGTTTTTCTTCAAGAGCTTGTGTACTTCCCTCAATCAGTAGCAAAGTAATGAAGTTTAACCAGCGGCGACTACCAAACTGACTAATGAAGACGACTACCAGTCCTGAAAAAAAGTTCGGGCGGGGCTTTCGTTACAGCTGTGCGCCGGTATGGCGGGGATTTCGTGTCAGGACTACTGTCGCACGGGGCTTTCGTGTCCCGGGCTTTCGTCGCGCGGGGATAGTGACGGTTTCCCGTTTTTGCGACCTCTGAAAGAAGAGGCGCCACAGCCTTAGAATTGACTTTTCAGGTTGAAATTCGTGAGAAAGAAAATTTTTTATACATTTTCAGCAATAAATACAAGGGAAGTACTGTACTATTAATACACGGGCATATGCAGTACTGTACGTCGATTTTCTTTTTATAGACTGATCATCACCGGTAAATTTGTATGTACAAGAAGTTAATTCTAAGAACCTTCACACCAACAAAATATGAGATTCAACTCGAAAATCTGATCATCACTAGCCCCAAGTCCAAAACTATAGACTTCGGCGAAAAAGTGAATCTTGTTGTCATGGGTCCCTCCGGAAATCGTTAAACGGAACGCCAGTCCAAATGTTTCGGACAACATGGAGATGACGAGGGGCTTCTCAGAAGTACTGCATATCTTTTTCATGTCACCTTGAAAACATTAATGCAGTTGGCTGAACAAATCCATTTCTAACAAGCTATTTGTATTTTATGGAGTATTAAATCCTATTTTCATTAACGACGAGTTAATTTCAAATTTTGTTTGCACTGGGACCTATTTTCTGCATGGAAGGGGTTTTCTCGAAATTATTGACGAGTGATGTTGAACTTATGGTATGCAAAAGCATATTGTGTAAGTGATTTTTTAAAACCGAAAAATAATTACACGTACAGTATTTAAAATTATACTAACTGAAAGTGTATCATTAGGAGGATCATAGCTGAAAATTGTAGCTGAGTCTTCGGAGCAATGGTAAAAATAATACGGAAAACGTAGGCTTGAAATGAAAAACTAGCTATTCACTATTGTAAAAACTGAAGCATGGACCTTTTCATTTCCTCAAGAAGTTTTGTGAAAGATTGTTTTCAAGAGAAAATGCTCCTGTTGAGAGACAATGCTGCAGTCCTTTAAAAACTCTTTTTGAATGTGGCACTAAATTGAATAATCTGATTCAAAACAAAATCCAACAATATTTCTGATGATATGTACACGTAATTCTACAATAACTCACTAATGATCCAATCATTATCAACATGTCTTCCAAGGTTAATAGTATTGATTTCCTCATGATTCTTTCTATTACAGTATATACAGCTGGCTCATCCTTCACTTGAATTATTTTCATTGAATCCATTTCATACAACTTCTCGGAGACTGTTTTTGGTATTAAACTGAATTCCACCAATCCCATTTTCATTTGTTCTGATAATTTCTACAAGAATTTAGTTAAACTATTCAGACTTTGTGAAACAATTTTGATGGATGAAAGTTATTCAATTTTATTGATTTGTCTGAAATAAATCTGGTGGTGCCACTTTATTTTCATGACCGAGATACCTTCCAATCTTTTTCTAAAATGCAAGAACACCGACAGGTTAATGTAATTAAAATGGGTGTAGGACAATTCCCCCGATTCTAATTCCCCCCCCTCTATTTCCCCCAAATAATAATCCCCAATTTTAAAATCCCCGGTCACAAAAATCCCAAAATTAAAATGCCCAATTTTTAAAATCCCTGAGTGTTATTTTCCCTGATTTTAATTTCCCTGCTTTTTGTTGAAATCCCCCATAATAAAAATCCCCTATGTACAATTTCCCCCAAAAATAAAAAAACTGATGGTTGGACAATTGTTTTTCTTATTTCTGAGTGACAAAAATTGAATTTAACAAGTATAATTGAATAACAATTAAAATAACGTAAAAATGAAAAAAAAATGTAAAATTTGAAAAAAAGAAACAAAAAAGTAAAAATTGAAAAAAAAACAAAAAATGTAAAAAAGCCGCATCAGAAAAAAAAAAATTATTAATTGTATCTCAGTTTCACTGCTTTAGCTGTTTCCTTCAAAAATTTTTCCAGACTAATTTTGTGCCTGTTGAACAATTGACACAGATTCTTCAGGTTGGCATCCCTCTTCTTCTGCTCACCTCAGGGTAGAAAAAGGGATTTGAGGATGAAGTTGGGGAAAAATCCAATTTTTTTTTTCTTTTTGCACAGAAAAATTTTGTCGGAAAATGAAAGAAATCCTATGCTAAGCAATGGGCTTTTTCTTGGATTAATCCCAACTTTGCCTCAGCCCACCTGGAAGGTCTTTTCTGACCTTCAGAAAACTTAAAACACCAAAGCATACGAAAATAATAATCCGATTTCGGCCGAATTTTTTCATTTTTGGTGATATTTTGTATATTTGGGGATTTTGCATTTTTGGGGATTTTAGTAAATGGGGATTTTTATTTCGGGGCAATTAGACACAGGGGGGGAATAAACGTCGGGGATTTTAAAAATCGGGGATTTTAGGATTGGGGATTTTAGAGCGGGGGGAATAGAGGCGGGGGAATTAGAATCGGGGGAATTGTCCGTTTCCCAATTAAAACACGGAATGAGCTTGAAGGATCAGTTGCTGACAATTTTCAATTCCTACAGAAAAGGATCCAAAACGAATGCTTAAAAAACTGTGCCTTTTCACCTGAATTTACAATCCCCGTTCATTTGAATCACCGCGGAGATTTGGAGAATTGTGACTTGCTCAATATATAAGGGTGATGCGCAAATGTGTAAAAACTCCGATTGTAATTTTTTTGAAGGCGAACTCGCAGGACTTCTGAGAAATTCCTGGTACTTCCGCTGCTCGCTGGAGATTTATTGACCTATTGACAGCTGGGTGTAGATATTTGAGACGGCTCTAAAACAGTTGCTGGTGTCCACATGGTGGTGTGGGCTATAAAATAATTTACAGGATTCTCCTCCAAAAAAACAAACAAACAAGGGAAGTCTTTCGCAGAACCAGCTGCTCGAGGCTCGCCTTTCCTGGAATTGCTTGAGAAGCTCACTAGCTTGGAACCCCACCTTTGTAACCCCCGAATTTAGTTACCATATACAGGACTGTGTCCCAAGTCTGAGGGATCCGAGCAGTACATCAGTTCTATAGGTACTGTAATTTACTATGTACATCAGAAGGTAATTTTTCCCGCCCAGTAGCTGCACCTGGCACCTAATCTGACTCGAGCTACGAAGTAAATGGCCAAAATTCCCAGACGGCTTAAGCTTGTATTAGTTGCATACTGTACAATACATTACTTCATTATGCCACCCAGCGCAACATTCAGCGGAGATTAAAATATATAAGCGGAGATTAAAACATTCTTACACTATAGAGAAGACAACTTGGTGCAAACTGCGTTTCTTCTCACGTACTGTAATCGGATTACATGTTCCCACACTTTCACTGTTTCCAATTCAGGCACATGACAACGTCACCGAAAAAGCTGTGAAGGCTAAGAACGTCCCTGATTCTCCCGCGCCCTTCTCCGGAGTCAAATCCTCACCCACAATGAAGTCGAACCTCATTCCTAACCAGAGGGTCCCCGCGTGCGGAATAGCATTAACGCTTCTGAAATTCTGTTCGGCTCCGCGTTAGCTGAATTATTCATCCTCTATTCATTGAACATCCGATCCAGTAATTCGCGTGCGTCTGCGACGGGGAAGATTCGACGCATACTACTATCGGTTGCGCATCTTCGATGCGCGGTATCCACGGCTGCGCGCGAACATGTCGGGTGACTCAAATTCTTGGGCGCCCTGCGGACATCTTGCGAGGAACCACTAGTTGAACTCGAGTCGCCGTGCGGCAACCTGACTCTTACTGTGAACGTGATGGTAACCGATCCATTGTGTCTCCTCAGCTTCAAAATGGGGTTCTTATCTGCAATTGTTAAAAAATGGTGACGTTGACTTTCGTGAGGTTACTGAGTGAACATGAACCCCATTCGCGTCGTATCACGTTTGAAGGCTGTAGTATTCTAATGTGCTTTTTGGGATCTGGGCATTTGTTTTCCGTGTGGGGGGTGACGTGGAAATGCATTTCGTCGGCGAATTTGACGTTATCCTACTCCATATGTGGCAGGGACTCAGTTTTTGCATTTCATGAAAGAAATTTCGCTCCCAATTTTACAGATCTTGTGCACATTTTCAAGAATATACTTTAACCTGGCATCTATTCGAGATGGCAATAATCAAGCTTCAAAGCAGTGATGGCGAAGTATTTCCCGTCGAAACCGTGATCGCTAAGCAAAGCGTTACCATCAGAACGATGCTGGAGGATCTCGGTACGTGCGGGGCGCGTATTTGTGTCCGTAATCGAGCTTTTTTCATTTTATGTATCATCGTATAGGGAACGAGGACGAAGAGGAGGAGGAGGTTGTCCCTCTACCAAATGTAAATGGCGCGATTCTGAAGCGAGTCATTCAGTGGTGCACCTACCACAAGAATGATCCGCCAATTAGCGACGATGATGACATGAAGGAGAAGCGGAGTGATGACATCAGCTCGTGGGATGCCGATTTCCTGAAAGTTGATCAAGGCACTCTTTTCGAAATAATCTTGGTAATTTATCCTTAGAATTGATCGTTTTTGAGTACTGTATATGATAATTTTATTTTTTATTGCCGACTAACTTGATAGGCCGCGAATTATCTGGACATCAAGGGCTTGCTGGATGTCACGTGTAAGACAGTAGCCAACATGATAAAGGGGAAGACGCCGGAAGAGATCCGCAAGACTTTCAATATCAAGAATGATTTCACCCCTGGAGAAGATGAGAATGTCCGTTTTGAAAATGAGTGGTGTGAGGAAAAGTGATTCCGTTCAGCCCGCTTCTATATTTTCTGTACAGTATTGTATGATACGTTCGGTTTTGCAAGAGTGCCTACTTCAAGTTAGAGGGATGCGTTCAGGTTTTTTTTTACAGTATTTTTTGAGGTTCTCTACTTTTGAATTCGATGTTTAAGTTGATTAGACGACCTCAGGCTGGAATATCCAGGACGGAGTGGTTGGAGATGCAGTACTGTATTAATATCTTCAACAATTTTTTGCGAGAGTATTATTGCGTTTGCTAGTGCACTTCAAGTCGTGAGGCAGATCATCACTGGAAAGGGCGAATTCGGAAACCCTTTCTCTCTCACGGATTTTTTAATAAGTTCGTGCTTTTTTACCTTTTGCGCGAATCTCCACCGACTGCGCGAACAGGAGGGTAAAAATGAAAGCATGAAACTTCACGTAACGTCTTCGAGATAAATTTTTTCATGCCGGAGCACTGTCTCGTATCAATCCTTACATTTTTCAACAGAACTAAAGAAGCAATCTGTGATTCATCTGCACCTACTGCTTTGCGTTTATCCTTCAGCCTGAGCAGGCTAGATTCCCTGAGGGCCTGGCGAAGACGCGGTGTACCATACCCGGAATTCAGGATCCTTTTTGGCGAATATGCAAATACAGTACTGTATCTTTTGATCCGTCGAAGCCTTGAAAAATGCAATCCACCTTCCCTCAAAATCAAAATTGCGCCTCGAAAGTTGAAGCCCTATTCGAGGTTGGGAAATATGCCCATGCGATATCTAGCCAGGAATTTCAAAATCAAATTTTTATGTCCAGCAATAATGTATGAGCGACGGAAAGGACAAATACTGTGCAGTTGAAGTCGGATCATGGCACTTGTGAGCCTTGACGTTGCTGGTAGAGGTCTATTACGTGACCGACTACATACACTGCTAACCTCAGCTGCGATGTTGAGGATTGTATCTTATTCGGAATGCTGTAAGTCGACTTCTTCGCAACCCTGTACTGACTAATCTCTCCATTGATACTGTATTCTAGATTCTGTTGAGTCTCCAAGCACGCAAGTCATATCGACACTGTCCATCCCTGCGCTGAACTTCATCCACTGCATGGTACTGTATATGTATGATGCACAGTACATGAGCTTTACTGGGGCGACAGTTTTGTGCCACTAGATGAGAACAGCTGTCATTACTACTAATTTTCCTCAGCTGCGCAATATGGTGCTGGCCAACCTTGGATATATTCTGCATAAATGAATATTTTTCCCGAATTGTATTTGAGTATTGAATCGTCAGAAACAAACTTCTCAACGCCACCCTCCGCGTACTATAATACGTGTGCATTGCAAATTATTTTGTACTGTGCAGATTTTTCGAAATACAATGGGGCCCACTCTATCATTTGGTGAAGCCAGCTGTCAAATACGGCAGAAGTGCTGTCACGTAGAAGAACGATGGACACATATGTTCAAATGAAAATCTGCGTACCAGGGAGGAAAGTTGCCGAACTGTCGCAATAAAAGTACATTTTCAGTTTTGCTGGCAGTCATAAAGTTGTGCGTTTATATACACCGCTCATGCGGTTCAGTTCAGTATGTTTCAATAAATCAATGGGTGAAACTGGGTTTTCCCCACAGTTGAGCCTTTTATTTCTGCATCTAATATCAGACTTGCCCTTTTAATTCTAAAGTATATACGGATACGCAGGGTGGGTACAGAAAGTGAACTGATTTCTACTTGAAATAGCTCATAGCAAATTAAGCTGGGGCAATTAAAAGCCTGATCGAAAGCTCATCATTGATCCCTTTCAAATGGAACGTAGTTTTATGGTCCGAAGTGCCACAGCATTTTGAACAAAACCTTGCAAAAACCAAAAGTTGTCAGGCAACAACTGCTTCCAACTATATACAAGCTGTAATACATCTCCAGAGCTGTTTTTAAAGTGGTAAATGGGGTGCAGGGCCAGAAATTCATCTCTTACATATTCCAGCAGCATAACGAAATACAGTACAACTTCATTTGTTCCTGGGAATTTTCATCCAAGGAAAGACCGGCGAGGCGTGCGAGCATACAGAGGCAAGGGTGCCTGGGGAGATGGGGCCTCATGCTATTTGCTCCAATCAACCACTCAATACAAGAAACGTGTAGTGTTCCGAACATAAATTTGGGTTGCATGCTGACCTCTGTAGCAGCTTGGGAAACGTTCATTAAAAAGCTATTTGAAAATTTCTGAATCATGCAAAAATTTTCTAAAAAATAATTTAAGATACAGTACCTGAGAAATACAATAGTCATTTTATTGAATGCAGCACGTATGCTTACTGATTTAGGTTGCCAATTTTACAGCAGGGTTAAGGGACCCTCTCCCTATAAAGAAAATGCATCCTACATTGGTGCATGGGCACTCAGAATTGTGACTGTCCTGTTCTGATGGCCTCACAGCTGTACTCTCCCATGTTAATTCAGCAGCTGAAAACAACTGAGTACAGTATAAGTAACAGCTGCTTGAAAATTAATGGGAAGGAAGAAGTTAGAAAAGTCAGGTGAACGCTCCATAGAGGGAGCTGTAATGATAGGATCCCTGGGTGGGCACAGAAGTGGTCGCGTTCACTCTGCGGAATTCGGTATTGACCCGTTGGGATTCATCCGAAGAGAGCTGAGTAGAACAGTTTTGGTCTCAGATTTCGGTTTGCCTCGGCAGAACAGACTCTGGAGTCCAGATTGAGGCTAGAGTATGCCCTGCCTGCCACATCGGAGAAGTTCTGATACTGTTTCTGTGTGAAGGTCTCACTGGTGTAAACGTGCGTGTACTGTAGTTTGCTTTCGTCGGTCGATGGAGGATATTAGGGCGTCCCATGTGCTTTTTATTTTCATACGAGATTACTGAAGTCGTGAACAGAATAATGATCGAATTAGTAATGAAAAGTTCGGAGCTCTTATTCGCATCGCGGAAGTTTTGGGGAATTGTCTTGAAATTCAGTAACTTCGACCAAATTACATTTCGCTTATTCCTTTCACGCATCGTAATGAGGATCTTCTTCAAGGCTGGATGTTTTTCTTGTCTTCCTTGACTTGTCGGATACCGAGAATGAAATCCACCTTCCTCCGCGATGAACTAGAAGTAACGGTGCCTGCAGCGCTTGTTTTCTTTCAACGAAGTTCAAGTGACTCTTAAATCATATCGCACCTTCAAACGTGTCATGCAGCAACATTCAGATCTTTCGAATGTAATCTCTTGACGGTTGAAGTCATGTACGAAAACTTCAGATTCATTGCAACTAGGTGCAGTGTGAAACTCATGATGCACCTAAATTTCATTACTAATGTTGCCTTTTAAGCATGCAGGGTAGTTTTACAGTACTAGCAGCGTTGAAGCGAATGCATCATCTATGATTTGGTTGTCCTGAGTATTCAGCAACTGAACTCTCGAGTGATCCATACATATACTTTTTTTAATGAATGAAATTTTTATTTGTTCAGGAAATTATTACAAGAATAATAGCCCTGTGATCTATTCGAGATGGCTATAATCAAGCTGCAAAGCAGTGACGGGGAAGTATTTCCCGTAGAAACTGAAATTGCGAAGCAGAGTGTTACCATTAGAACGATGTTGGAAGATCTGGGTAAGTGTTCGGAGTACAGTTTTTAGAGGTCTCTTTTCATTATCTTTTCATTTCAGGTAACGAAGACGAGGAAGAAGAAGTCGTTCCATTGCCGAACGTCAATGCCGCCATCCTGAAGAAGGTCATTCAATGGTGCACGTATCATAAAGATGATCCAGCTGCTCCAGACGACGAGGAAACAAAAGAAAAGCGAAGTGATGATATAAGTTCGTGGGATGCCGACTTCTTGAAAGTCGACCAAGGGACTCTTTTCGAGTTGATTCTGGTGTGTTATTTTTCAATATAATGGCCAGTCGATTTCAGGAACTCGATGAATTTTTCCTGTTCGTGTTATTAGGCCGCTAATTACCTGGACATCAAGGGACTTCTGGATGTTACTTGTAAGTCAGTTGCGAATATGATTAAAGGCAAAACGCCCGAGGAGATCCGGAAGACGTTTAACATCAAGAACGACTTCACGCCTGGTGAAGAAGAGCAAGTTCGCAAGGAGAATGAGTGGTGCGAGGAGAAATAATCACCCTGAACACCATTTCTACCCTTGAATCATCTTGATGTGCTTGCGTTTGTAAGAGAATGGCTGAATGAAATTAGCGCGTTGATGGGTGCATGCTATTATTTTTTCGTTTCAAGTATGTTGTGCGGATTAATCTTAAGGGTCAAGTGCCTATTTTCGCGCTGTCCTGTTTTCTCATTGTGTGTTCCTCGCCGCCTTTTTCGACTATGATGTCATTCGAAGAGTTCTTCCTTTGCATAGCGTAAATGAATGTCGGAATGGGATTATCTTGCGTTAGATTTATTCATGGTAACGCTTCTTCGTCGCATTGCGAACTTACTACCAGACCTGTATCTGGTGTATACCTCCCTCCGCTGTCGACGATGGCAATCTTCGAGTTTTTTTTTTCGTACCTCTATTCGTTATGAAGTTATGCACTTGAAACGTGTCATTTTGCTTGAATTCTACTGTACGCAATTTTTTGGACTTGAAGTGTTGTGCTGCAAATGACGGGACGTCTGTACTTCTAGACGAACTATTGCGCGAAGATGTTTTTCACTCTGGATTACTCCGTTCGACCGCGGAAACCCCTGCATTCAACTGTGGAATCATGTCGCGAGAATGTGCAGCTATGACCGATTTTTCATAATATGCACAGTTGAAGACAGTCATTTATTATATGAGGTGAGTCTGTTCAAAATTCAGTCGTTGTTCTGCTGTGATGGAAAAGTTTTTTATTTGAATAGTTATGATAACTGTTCTGATGTAATGAGTCTGATTAAGCGTTCGGAGGTGTTTATGTTGTCTCTTTTAACGTATCGTTATTCAGATTTTTTTGAATATCGTCAGGATTCTAGTGCTGGTTTACCGGACTGCTCGAATGCTGTTGTTCCAAGAAAAACATGATGTGGAAGTCGGGTTATTCTTTGAATCATCTACGTTGAAGACGACTCTTCCCTGGTTGGGCCTTTGAGGTGAGCATGTGCAGTATTAGCTGAAGACGACCCCGCCGTGATGTAAAAATACTTACGTTGAATCCACTGTGATCTTTGTTTTGATGTAATGAGTCTGATAAACAGCATATTCTCTCTGGTGGAAATCTTCCGGCTTCTTTTCAGTGGGTACAATTGTTGACAATATTTTCAGGATTGCCTAATTGGCTCAGCGAAATGCTTCGATTGTGGAATACACGGGTATGATTCCTGTGATTTTTTTCTCGTCATCCCAGTTGAAGACTTCATGGCGGAGGTGAGTCTGAAGAAAATTGTTCCGGATTATTTTCGCGTGATGGAAAAATAAAATCATTGAATCGAATATGATCGCATTTATGATGTAATGAGTCTGACGAAATCATTTTTGTAAACTTAGTTGCACTGTACTGTATCTTTATTCATGAAGTGCTGAATATTTTCAGGATTGCCTTGTTCGCTCATCAGCGTACTTGAATTTGGGAATACTTTTCCATGAAGTCGGCGAGTTATTCAAGCTAGTTCACACTGAAGACGCCAACTAGTTTATAGAGGTGAGTTAAAGCAGTACTGTACTGAAGCTGGTCACATCATTTTCCTGTGATGGAAAAATGCATTGATTGAATCTATCATGATAGTTGTTCTGATGTAATGAGTCTGATTAACATCGATGTTTTTGCTTTCAAAATTACTCTCATTGCAACGTGGTTGATTGAGATTTTTCTGAATTTCTCTAGGATTACCCTCTTGAAATGGTCGGGTGCAATTGTTCGATGAACTTGGATACAGATTTGTGGATCCCGAAGCGACAGGTATGTGTAATACAGTATTTTAGTTATAAGCTTCCCAATATTCGGGCATATTTGATGTGTCGAATGTGATTTTGACTAACTTCGACAACTCTGAAACATTAGCATTGTTCCTGCTGGAATTATTCCTCTATCTGAAAGTTTTTCTTCCTTTTTCTGCAGATTTCGTAGGTTCTGGCCACTTGATCCAGGATAGAGGGAAATGCGGATAATCTATTTCTGGACTATCTTGTCATACGGATCGGCTGACGATTCATAAGAAAATTGCAGAAGCTTCAGAGTCCGTCGACCTTCAAAGCGAAATGGATAAAATTAAAATCAAAACTTGTCAAACCCGAATGTGAATGTGCGAAGTTGATGAATTTTCTAGGGGTTTCTTTCTGTGTTGAAAGAAGAAAGATTGTATGTGGAGTACTGATCCGAAATTGTGATCCCATAACTCCGCATGGTGAAACATTTGTCAAAGAAATGTACAGTTCTCGTTTTACTCTAGCCGGTGTATTCGTGTCAACCGAGTACAGAATTGAAAATCGTGTTCAAAACGACGCGTTAATTTAATCTTGGCAGGAAAAGCATTTGTGCTGATGTATGTTTCGAGTGAATCATGCTTGCATGAAAGTGGTGTTGAAAGTTCTTCGCGTTGATCGTTAGTGTTGGTTGAAAAGGATCAATCCACCATGAACATCGATCGGCGAATGTCGTGAGTTTTTCTGATTGATTTAATGCTTCTTTGGAAAGCATAGCAGTTTTATCATGTTCGCGAAAAGCATTTTCTTTGTGGAGAGTGCTAACTACCCAAATGATTATGCAGGACAAATGGGGAGTCGCTGTACCAGGTTTTAAGCGTACCCAAAGATGCCACTGCAGAGGATATCAAGAAGGCTTACCGGAAGCTTGCATTGAAATTCCACCCCGACAAGAACCCTGAAACTGCAGACAAGGTTGGTTCAGGCCATTATGCTTACAATTACAGGTGGTGTCCCTCTGAAAATAAATTATATTTCCGACGTCTGTTTCTCATGGAAGTATTTTTCCGCCGATCCTGGCAGACCTGTTAATTCTCTTTGCCAGGATTAATTTTGTGGTCCCTGTGAATATCTTGGAGAGGGTCCAATTCTATTTGGTTGCATCATACCCTCCTAGCAGATTTTTGCACTTCAGAAGGAAACTACGGGAGTAGAATTTCAGAAATATTTCTCGAGTCGATTTTTTCTTTTAGTCCGCATGCTAGCGATAATTCGGACTGCCTGTTTAATATTATTTTTACCTTCGCAGTTCAAGGAAATCAATCATGCTCACAAGGTGCTGAGCGATCCCACGAAAAGAAACATTTATGACAATTATGGCTCTGTGGGCTTATACGTCGGTGAGCAGCTGGGCGAAGAGAATGTGAATGCTTATTTCCTTGTCAATTCGGGATGGTGCAAGGTGAGTAAAATCATTATTCTTGGTGTGTACTGTCCCGTTGTTACCGCCTCCACCCTTTTAAACATATTCCTGATGCAACGATAGCAATGTGGATAACCGAACCAAGCTACCCAAATTCGTACCTGATACCCTTGACTGAATTTCTCAACATCCGCGAAGTCCCCATTAAACCTGGGCCTTAAGTAACCGACTTTACCTGACGCCCTTGTAATTTAATCCTGTTACAGTACTGTATTTTCAATCACCGAGCCTTATTCCTAGTCAACTGAACAAAAATATCGGCATAGCTAATTTAACCGAATGACTGAGTAACTAATTATGTCTGGATAGTCTAACCTAATACCATATCATTTTAACGTATTGCTGAACTTCCTGATCATATTTTAGGTAACGTAATTCCTAAATTTCGTTCCGAAGTATTGTCACAGCTAACCGAAAAACTATAACCCTGACTAAATTATCTTTTTGAAGTTAATTTGGGTGGATGAGCATGAATTTTAAGCTCCATCAGTTTTTGTTGATGATTGTATTTGAATTAATGTACCGTGTTCTATAATTTTCACAGTTCTTCTGCTGTCTGGTCGGAATTTTTACGGGGTGTTATTGCTGCTTATGCTGTTGCTGTTGCTGCAACTTCTGCTGCGGGAAGTGCAAACCGCGTCCACCCGAGGACACTGGAGAGTATCACAACCTGAATGTGAGTTCGGTACATCATAAAAGCGATATAGTTAGCTCAAACGTTTCGTATTCGAAGACCCTAATTTTTTGCCTGAGCGTCGCGTTGTTAGATATGTCTTTATTTTACGTGATCGTTCTGTTCCTAATGAATTTCGTCGAGTTCTTTTGACTTCGGAATGTTTCATCAATTATTTTTTCTTTTGCCCGTGCAGCAGATTTGAACCTAGTCACTTGCTTTGATTAATTTTGTTTTGAGTTTCACGTCGCTTTCGAAAATAGGTGTTTTTCACTTCGAGTCCCACGCATTCCTTCTTCGTTTATAGCCGGATGAGCCCGGTACTTCGAATACAGTCACGGAACAACCGAAAGGAAAAGGTTCCAGTGTAAGTCGGTCATTCTGTTTGTTCGAGTGCTTCATGTTTTGCGGAATTTTATCGAGACTTGAGTGTATTTTGCTCAACTTTTTGATCGTGGCTTCGGGAATTCTCTCGTTCAGTTTTAAAGCTGCTTATTCGTGATTTGTTTTTCTCATGGAAATCTATTTGCGGTGGAAGCTTCGTAATTAATGGGATGCGGGAAAACCTCTGAATGACTAAAAATGTCTTCGTCTGTCGCCCATAGTTCCGCAATTGTTTCTTGGACTCATCACTTGAATTCGTTGTTGTAATCTCTTGATAGAATGTGACGGGTTTTTCTCGCGTTTATTTACCTATGATTTTTTCTTCGTTTTATTGAATGACGTAGAGCTCTTCGCATGCTTTTAATCTGTCCTGCTGCCCTTGTTTGGAATATTCACTGTACTTGACTTTCTGGCTTTAGCATTTCAGTTGCTTGTTTGAAGGGTGATATTGTGAAGGCGGCGAATGTCCAAGAACTAGCATTTTTCGTTTTATTTATCTGAACAAAGTAATTTTTAGAGCGTCCACAAAGTTACTGTTGAATGATATAGCTATGACGTTCAAGTCATCACCTAACCTTACGATCCAGTAACCCCCGAAACTTTCGAAAGCAGGTGATATCAAGCCACGTTGAGTGCTTGCGTATGTTCAAACCTCTTGAGTGCATTTTCATGATGTTCTATGTGACCTGCTGCAATTTTGGACGTAATTTTTGATATTTCCATGTTGACGTGAATCTTTTTGACTGCACAGTGCTTTTGCAGCTGGGAAGTGCAAGCACTGCAACTTTGTGGACACCCTATACAAGTATTTCGTGGAGTTACTGTTGGACTCGCTCGAAAACAATTTCAATTTCAACACTAGTTTTTATTTAGTAAGAAGTGGTCATGTACTGGCAGACCGATTCATGTACGAGTAGTTCATATAGTTATGCAATAGAAATTTCGTCTACGAGTCACGTTTCGGACCCTGGATTATTTTTCCACAGGGAGACCAATACTACAGAAGGTCCACTTTTTTTGAAAAAATACTTCTGTAATATTTTGTTTTCGTTCTTCTTAGGCACTGAAAATGATGCTACGAATAAATGCTTCATAGTCGTATTCAATGTTCAAATTTCGAGTAATGCTATAAAAATGAATTCGTCTCTTTCAAAGGAGTTTCGCTTCAAAGCTCGTTATTTTTAAGAAGTGCGCACGCGAAGCACGGACGAAACATTGACAGAAAAATTTTTATTTACGTGTCTTTTGTCACTGCTTTTGTGTGTAGGAGAGTGACGAAGAGGGTGGTGATGGTGCCGCTGGTCTCGATGGTGCAGAGTCGCCAAACCTGGTGACGGATCAGCCGAAACCCAGCACTCCACCGGGCGTGGGATCCGCGGGTTGGGAGTCGACGGGTAGCAAACCAGGCAGGCCGATGCCGCCGAACCAGAGCATTCCAATGCCGGCTCCGCAGAGCCACGAGCGAACGTCGCTGAACCAAGGTGAAACTCGCGCTTTCGGTGAGAGCCTGCTGCATGCCTAGTCAGTTTTTTTGTTTTGCTTTTAAATTTATTTCAATTTTCTTTTGTATCGAATTCGAGTGGTGTGGGGTTTATCCACAAGTTTTGAGTGTTACAGTACGTTTTTTTTAAATTGACGAGATGATTCCATTACCGTTGCCTCGGATAGCGGTGAACTTGAACTGGTGATCGGTTCCGTTTGCCACGTGGAACTCCCTGAAGATGTCGTGAAGTACAATTAATGTACTCAAGTTTAATTTGGTGGATTATTGGGTAGACTGAGAGTTCTGAGACAGACGAAGATTCAGTGCACGTTATGAATCATCGGAGTTTATGTATCTTCCTATGCATGTTCTCACGTCCAAGGTTGGATTTGGTTTAGAATCTGCATTGGTCCAGTATCGTAGAGTTTCGTGAACCCTAACAATATATTCAATTAGGAAACGTTTTGAATTCCCAGAAAAACTTGGAAGATTGGATTTTTGCTTCATGTGGAAGAGTTGGTCCGAAAGTTTTGTCAGAGCGTGAAATGAAGTAAAGCTATTCAGATACTCGAGTTTTTTGGTCAAAATTCTTGGGATCCCAATTGAATCACAAGCAGAATTCTAAGCAAATGTTTGTTGATCCGTAAAAAATGTTTTCTTCGATTACACTTCTGAATTCAGTAATTTCTTGCCCACGAAGCGACATTTTAGGATAACTGCGCTGACGGCCATCACACAAGCGAAAAATTGCTAGGGGCGGGACTCGTCTTAATGGGGACCTAGATTTCAAATGAAGAAACTTCTCAATAAGACTTTGAATGTACGGTACAGTTGAATCTCTCAGTCAAACTTCAAGGGACGAGCAAACAATTGGACTTGGGGAAACTACATATTTGCCTCGAAAGAGAGTTATAAGACGGTAAAATCTTCTTGACCCAGAACTGCGGTGTAAAAATTGGAATGATACTGAACCTGGAGGCAAGGGCTCATTTACCCGATGAGTCAATCACTTTGTTTTGAAAAGTATTAAGTCACATTTCTATTTCTTTCCTCTTTCCTGGGTCACAAAAATAATAGCCAAAATGCCTCCGGACAATTCGGGTTACGTAGGTTGCAAAGGGAAAGCCTTCGGGTTTGGAATGTCTTTAATTGTGTGAATTCTTTCCTAGGGAATCGAGACGGGTATTTGAAAAAAAAATTTGACGTAGGGAGGTTCGAGTTATTGAGGTTTACCTTTATTCGGAATACTATACGGTATTTGGTAAAATCCAAGCAGGTCGCGATTACCGTATTTAAATAAGATTTTGAATGTACAGTACATCGAATGAAAAATAACGTACCTTGGGAATTAGTGTTCCCCATTTTGACCTGGGATAGAACTGTAGCAAAACTTGCACCAATATTCGGGAATGCATGAAATATTAATCTGTAGAAATTTCGTCCATTTCTATCCGTCCAAAACACAAAAGAAAATCGAGACTGACAAAATTTAGGAACCAAGCCTTGTGAATGAAAGTTGCTTTTTTCACTTAGATTGCAGTGCGCCATGAAAACATTGGTAGTTCTTGGGTCAGTCAGTTTGGATACGTGGTATTACACATTTCATTTTGATGCAGGTTACAACACTACTGGCTCTGACTTCGGAGCGACGAAATGAAACCGATCGTGTTGCATTGCGGAACGAAGAACATTGAGCAGAAGACCCGGGTTGTACCGCTAGAACGTGAGATATCTTCTGACACCGTATTCAATGATGTATCCTCAGTCGTCTCGGAAGTGATTTTTCAACACCCAAAGAGAATCTTATTGGCCGAGTCAAATCACTGCGTATAAATTGATCGTTTATTCGTATATCATTGATCGTACTCATGTAATCGAATCATTCGGTCGTAATTTTCGAGCCGTAAATCACAAGTTGTTGGTACCATATTCGAAATGGTTAAATCAGATTTTATCTTCTTTTTTCAAGATCGTTTTGCCGCGAGGAAGCTATCGCACAGTTTTTGTTTCTGTTGTTTTTTTGGCCAAGTACATTATATCAACGAATAGAAAACGTTGCAAGCTTATAAATTTATTCCTCTAGTCCGAACATAGTTCAACCAGAGAGTCGAACAATGTCGGGTTCTTTATTGATTCATTTTGCCATGTGACCTTCTTGATTCATTTCACAATGTTGAGGACGCACGGAATACTGTAGTTACTTTTCATCTGTTGCGGAGGAAGACTTGGATGGAAATTGTGGAGAGGAATTCCGGTTCGGCGAAAAGTTTTGTTCTTGATACGTTTTGATCGGCGGGGTCTTACGTGAAAGCTTTTGACAAATTTTGGGTGACATTCATTTTGAGTCAGTCTTGAACATTGCATCCTTGAAGTTCGTGGAAACTTTCGATTTTTTAGGATTTTTTTGGAGCCGCGTTTGGTCACTAATCATTTCGTGTTGGAAGTTTTTCTGGTTACCCGTTTATTTTATTATTTTTCGTTCGAAAACTTTTTTTCTTTTTATTAGGAGCGCATTCCTTGAAAGCCATTGTTTAGTGCTATACACAGACGTTTAAAGGATCTGGCAGTACCGTATTTGTTCGTGTGTCTGAGCTAATGGTGTGTTGCGTGTCTCAGTCGTGAAAGGAAGTGTTCATCGTCCTGTCTGTCGATTCCGCAGTTCACGAATTAAAGGCTTCTTTCGTCCCAAAATCATCATTGGATCGCCGTGGCTCTTCTCCATTGGTTAATGCGCGAACTTTGATTCGAAAAAGTGCTGGTTTTTTTCCTCACTAATGATGAAGCAACTATAATTTTATGGCAGGAAGTATTCTGGCCTCATTTTATAGTTTTAAAGACGAATGCCATATATGACGACGCACTTTTTTCCGGATGTGACCTATGTGTTTAGAAATACTGCAAGTGCGAGTCCTTGAATCCTTTTTGTCTCGGATTTGCATGCTGAGAGCAAAGCCGACGAGGTTGTCCGAAATTGTTCGTCAATTCAAAAGATGAAGTAACTCGATGAATAGCAGCTGTTGATACAAAAAAAGTTGACCGATTTGCAAGCGGCAAGATATCCTAGACCAATTTACCGGGAATCATTTGGAAAAATGTCGTACTGAAGCTAATTGAAGTTATCTTTCCAAAATTTTCTACTTTAATCTTCCGAGGAAATCGGTAGATGCAGTATTTTATATTTGGAACGACTGAAGAAAAATCATCTTGTTTTTCCTTGAGGATTGAATGTTTGACCGACGGTTTCCCGAGGGAGCGTTGCTTGAACTTAAGGATATTTCTGGCCTTATTAAGAATGAATGCACAATTTATTTATTTATGCTATTTTCGGACCACCTGGAGAAAGATGAAAAGATCCTGTTGTCCGCCGAACTCTTCCCTGTCGAATTTTCCAACACCCTGCGTGAAGAAAAGGCAGACTTTCAAAATGAAATGTCTTATCCTTGCGTTTATGGATTGATAAGTTTATAAATTGAATAAAAATTGAAGGCAAGCCGTTAAAAATTATGATTGAAGTCAATTATGATTAATAAAACTTGAGATTGTGATTTGAAAGTAATGTATATAATGATCATTCAAGCATTCAAGAGTAAGTACTACGTTAATAGCTAATAGACGTAGTAATTTTATTTTTATCATAATTACGATAATTTAATACAGTTTTCTTACTAATTAAAATATATAATTTGAAAGTATTACTCATTGGGATTACAGATCAAGAGTCAAGATTAGTTGCTAATTTTTATCTGGGGTGCGTGGAAAAGTTGCTCCGGAAAACTTTATTCTGCAGTCAACAGACTTTATTGTTCTTCTTCCTTGAGCCTGTCTAAAAATTCTGCAAAAAAAAGGATCCAAGACGATAAATACTGTACCCTAACAATTGAGGACATTTTTCCTTTTAACTCTTCGCCAAGTTCAGCTATTCAAAACTGTCCCACAACCATTTTACGCACAATCAATTTCTCAAAGAAGCCCTCGGCTAAATTTTTAATTCGGATATATTTTCTTTAATAACGCAGGAGGATCATTCACCAATTCCCCGAGAATTTGAAACCATGAACTTGAACAAGAACGATTAGAAGATATTTAAAAATGGGGTTTAGTTTTTTACGTCGTAAGTTGATCGTTGATACGTTCAAGAACCATTGTTGCTTGAATAATGGTCCATTGTTCTCAGCTCGAATCAGTATTTCTTCCGCTGAATGTTAGTTCACAGAATTGTCTGAATGAATACAGAAAAAGGCCGTTTTTTTTATTTAAATGTGTCGTACCTAGTTGTTTCTTTGAATGATTTAGATTTGATAAGTACCTGAAATTAGATAATCTCAAGTTTTCATCTTCAGTTTTTACTTCAAATAAATACGCTGTATTGAAAAAACGTCGTCTTTGAAAATTGATACACGTTTTGGGTCACCCTGTAAAACGTCGCTCGACATGTTCCAAGCAAGTTACAGTATTGTGTCTTCCAATTCGCTAGAAAAACTCATTCCTTCACGCCGAGTGGGCTGTAAACAATGGAGGTGCGTTCAAGAGGCGATGTCATATTACGTAGAAGTAAAAAACATTATTCCCAAGAACGTCTGCGACGAAAAACGTGGAAATAATGAGACGTTTGTTCATTCGTTTGGATTAGTCTCTAGTAACTTTTTCGAGTTGATCGAATAAACGTATTATCCGATGGAGAGCGAGCTTCTCGCATTTTGATCTTTCCCCTGTGGAGCTCGACAAAGTAGAACTGTCATCCGCTTCGTTTGCAGCGCGTCTTGTGGCCTTTGTGAATGGAAATTTCGTATCACGCGCGCATTGCGTAAACGCTGGAGCTTCGCGGGTGACCGATTTTTTCATCGCGCTCAGTCAGCAGTTCGTGACACATGAGTGATAACATGAAGGGAAAAAGTGATATTGGAGAACCCGGAGAAAAGAAATCCGACGTTCCTGTCAACGATGAAACTCTCGAGGACGTGGAAGAGTATCCCGAAGAACTAGAAGGTACAGTATTTCGTTTCAATTGCAAATCTGCACGCGAAAATTTTAGTGGCTCCTGTGGTTGTGGAGGTGACGGCATTAATCTGATGAACTTGAACGTCCCGGTGTTGATTGACAACTGTGTTGCGTTTACTGTGATTTCCTTGCTCTTGCTTCGACGACTCCGTCGAAGGGATTGCATCCACTAATTGCCAGTGTTAAATACTGTATTCTAATCATGCGTAGAAACGGATGATGCGTCACGGAATTATTTGACACGTGAAAAGTAGAAACACGGTTTTGAAAAATTTTCACTTGAGTCTGATTCTGAAATGTACAAGTGGACTCTCTGCAACGATCTTTTCTGTGACTAATTTCTTTCTACAATGACTTTTGTTGATCCGTTGAACTTGTAGAGAGAATTCCCTTGTAATTTCGTGGAATTATAGTGAATAAATGTTTTAAAAGAGTGGACTTCTTTTTTATATTTTTTAACGATTAATTTCAATCCATGCGATGAAGTTGCACGAAATGTTCTTCATCCATGATCAGATTAATGTGCGATGAGCAGGATATGCGTCGATTTAATTTAGGACCATCTGAGTATCCGGACGTTTCTCACTTGAGGAAGATCTGTGATCTTCCATTCTGGCGTGTCGATCAAATCTCGCCTTGACCATGAATATGACCAAAAATAATTTCAGGAAATGTAACCGAGGAAAGCTAACTTGATATACTGTATTCTGAAAGAGCCGGAAACCTCAAATGATATTATTGTAGTGTAACAGACCGAACGAAATTTCACGGGATGCAGGCGACACCTACGGAAGAGCGAACAATTTTTCATTTTGGGACATCCACGTTCAAGCGAGTAGTACATGTACTGTATATAAACTAATGTACATTACTTTCTGTTTATGCTGAATTTGCGCAATATTGTTTATCATTTATAAATCTGTTCTGGCTAATATATTTTGAATTAAATCATGACATGGAAAGAGAATCCTAGCTGTAATTCGATGATGGGACGAAATTCGTTTTATTTGCGTCGAGAGCCCTTCAACTTTTTTCCGGAACTTCGACTTGTACGCGAGTTAGTTCCTGACAATTATGCAAATGTCACTTCGAACTTTGACATTTCCAGGCGTAGCGGACGAGTTCCATGCGCTGAATAATCAACTGGATCAGCTCAGCGATGCGTTGGATTCGTTAGAGAACCATAACGATAACCTGAATCAGCAGCTGAGAGAACTGTTGGAGTCGAATCGTCAAGTGAGGTCGGAAATACGGAAAGATCTTGGGAAGCAAATGGATGCCGTGGACGACGGTTTGAAGGAGGTGGAATCCGGCGTTGCTAAGCTAGCGGCCGATTCCAGTGAGGAGAGCGAAAAGGGATCTTAATACCACGTCCTTCGTGGTTATTTAATTCTAGTTGCGGTTCGTCGCAGTTGTGTTTCCAATTCGGGATATTCCATATTTCTTGTGATAAACGATGCGTAGTGTGTGCATGTGTTCCTGTGTAGGTTTGCTGGGAACACTCGAATGAAGCTTATATAAAAGCCTCCTATTCATTTATTTTTGTTCAGCGTTATGATTGCATGGGACATTGGAAATTCTTAGTGCTATAGTTTTATATTTATTTTTTCATTTTTTGCCGAATGGGGATGAGCTGGCATTTTTCAGCCTTACAAAAATCCGTCCCTCAATCAAAATGGTTTTCTTGGTCAGTGAGATTTTTCGACCATGACGTAATGCTGAAATTCAGTCTTATTTTGAAATTGGATAACTTTGAGAGTTTTTCCTTGTATTTTAACCGCATTTTTATTTTTTTTTCGAAGATAATAGTTAAATTCATCGCCGGATAGTCGAATCTCCATTTTTTGTCAATCGGTGTTCAAAAACCGTTTTCTTCACGTTCAAGTGTATTCGCATTAAACAAGAGCGTTCATCATGGTGCTTTCCATCAGTGAGTACTTCAAGGTTTCTTTTTATCGAATTGAAAACATAAAATATATTCTCGATCTTAGTTGCGTGGGTGCTTAGAGTATCATTCAACATTGTTGCTGGTGTTGCCGCGTTGTACGCGTTGGCCGTCGGATATTGCAAAATTACTTGCGGTCGGTGTCAATCCTCGAAGTCGCTGAAAGGAAAAACGGTTGTGATTACTGGTGCCAATGGAGGAATCGGAAAAGAAACTGCAAAGGATCTCGCTGGTAGAGGAGCTAGAGTTATTATGGCGTGCCGGAATGAGGAAAAAGCTCAGCAAGCTGCAGGTGTTTATTCTTTTTTCCGTCATTGGGAATATGTTGATCTTTTGTTTAAAGATGGTCTGAACTCTGAAAATTTAAATTAGAGGCCTGTGTCCTTTTCTCATGGTCTTAAAGCGGGTTCAGTAAGGTTTTTGGATAATTGGAGTAATTTCGCATCATCTCGCACAGCTGTGAATTCCTCTTGCTTGAACGTTTTCTATGGAAATCTCATGGAGAAAATCGGTGGTCGTCTGTTTGAAAACGAGAAAGGAATTACTGTGATGTCACACGTCGCAGAATTTCGAAGGTTATACCGGAAAAGTATCAACGAACAAAAGAGCATGTTGCAGAGACAAAAAAACATTTAAAAAATTGCCGGATGCTTTCTCACTTTTTCACGTTGAAGCTTTGGTTTATTGCAGTTCAGACCATATCTTAAACTGAGCAGTACAGTAGTAGAATAATGTTTAAAGTGTTCGGAATGTAATTTACGGAATAGTGAAAAAAGGCCTGAAACTAGGCTGCTACAGTACTTGTAATTGATACTCCAATTAGCTCATATTGTCGAACACATTTCAGCGCTTCAACTTTGTACAGTTCTCATTTCGAGAACGTTCAGGCTGCTGTCTTTATTTTGACGATGCCTATATGGAAATAAGAGCCGTAATGATATTTTGTATTGTTATTAAACTTATTATAAACGTGTGCACATTTTTTAGCTAGCATTTTGAGTGCGAATCCAGGCGCCGTCAATTCTGAGACGCAACCTTGTTTTAAAAAGTTTTTTTGTGTTTTCTGTAATTTAAAATTGGAGGAAATCACGCTTCCTGCTGTAATTCTCTGAATACGGTGGAGTAGATTATAGACGAAAGTGCTCATAAAACCTTCCGACTTGGCCGTCCGTTTCAGATGAAATTATCCGGGAAACCGGTAACAAGGAAGTGATCGTGAAGAAACTGGATTTGTCTTCGCTGAGCTCCGTGCGTGAGTTTGCGGATCAGTTCAACAAGCAGGAAAAACATCTTCACATTCTCATCAACAATGCCGGAATTGGCAACCGTGGTCGTCGGCAGCTGACTGAGGATAACTTGGAGATTACGATGCAATCGAACCATTTTGGTCACTTCCTGCTTACCAATCTTCTTCTCGGTGCGTTATTTTTGTGTTGCTATTGTACTCACGCTTTGGGTACGCTGTACTTCTCGAAGGAAACTTTAATGTGTAGAATGTTCTGGCTGCATTTAAAAATATTAAAAGAAACGGTTGATGATTCGTATTCCTTTTTTCTCAACGAACAGACAAGTTGAAGGAGTCAGCTCCGAGTAGGATCATCAATGTGTCATCCCTGGCTCACTGGTGGGGCGTGATCGATCCTACCAACCTGAACGGAGAGAAGAAATGGGAACCTGCAAAAACCTACGGAAATACCAAACTCGCCAATTTGATGTTCACGGTTCAGCTGGCGAAAATGGTGAAAGATGCAGGTTAGACGAAACACGTTTCCGCCATTGACATTTTTTCCTACGTTTTAGTTAATTTCATAGATGACGTTAAGTTGCATTTGTATTTGATCAGATTACCTTGTTTGGCAGGTTAGTCTTAAGGTTAAGAGCTTAAAGATGGCAAAATAGGACTTAATCCTGCGTGGGTCCTTTGATTAGTCTAATAGTCCAACTGAGAACGAAACTAGTGCCTCTCTTTCAAATGTGGACTTCCAAATCATCTTCACGTAAAAAATTCATATTGCCTCATTGATTATGTAATAGACTAGTCGCTGCTTTTCTTTTGCCACGCGTCAAAGAGCGACGTATATAACTCATTCAAGAAGTTTTGAAGGTTAATTGCGGTAATAGATCGAATACTGATTGACGGCGAAATCACCAGGTTTTTTTTTTCAATTGTTGTTGGGTAATCTGTTCAAAACATTCCACTCATTGCCTCAGAAACTAGCGCAAGGAATTATTAAGACGATGGAAAATGGGAACAAGCTTGTCAGCAAGTTTGTACGCATGTACATTGAACATAATTTTTTCTGAATCAGAAAAGTCTGTTGATTCTCTCATCCTTAATATACCGTCTTCATTCCTGACCGATTGAAAACTTTCACCCCGAAAATGGACGACATAAATCGTGATCCTAACTCCGGTGTCATTTAAGTTGAAATGTGGACAATCGTTTTTTGAATCGAATTCCACTTCTAATTGTCAGTCGACATTTTTTATGTGTCAGAAGCAGTCGTATTCTTCACCTGCGAATCTAAGACGCTATCTAATATAAGACACCCCTATAGTCCTATTTGTTTGAAACTGATTTTTTTTTTCTTCGATAAAAGTAGTTTTATTTCCGAGTAATCAAGGTAAGTTCAACTCTTCACCCTTGTTGAACTTAGACGATTCTCGACTTTTGTGGCTAATGGATAACCTATTCGTTGATTTTCAACAGGCGTAACTGTGAATGCATTGCATCCCGGCGGAGTGCGCACGGCCATCTTCGACTCGTCGATTTCAAAGAAAAACGTGCTTCAGTACTACATGCTTTATCTCATGTGGCCATTATTCAAGGTTGGTGTCTTCGGTTCTGTTGTTTACGAGTATTCTGTGTTCAAAGTAATGCCACTATTCTCTAGACTCCCGAAGCCGGAGCGCAAACGAGTATTTATCTTGCCGTGAGTGATGATGTTGATGGTGTGACTGGGAAGTACTTCGCTGATTGTGGGGTGAGTTAACGTGTAAATCCGCATTTGCATGTTTTTTTTCCTATATGGTGCAACATCAGATTCCTGAACTAATACAGAGTTTCAGAAAATCCGTATACTATTTCAAGCATTTTAATTTGGATGACCCGCTGTCATGAGACGTTTTCTTAAAGGCGCAACACAGGAACTTTAAAATCTAAAAGAAAATTGATCGATCACATTTCCTCGTAAAATGCTGAAATTTTTTTGCAGGAAGCGAAGTTCTCAGCAAAAGCCCGAGATGAAGAGGTCGGAAAGAAATTCTGGGATGCTAGCTTGAAGATAACTGGCCTCAAGTGAAAGTTCTGAGAAATTCCAGGCTCACGAAGTTCTTCTCAGTTATTCGGAAAATTTGTTCATCTTGTACGGTGATTTTTAGAGGCTTCTTGGATCTTGTTTGCTTCTGGGCTGGATTGAGGAAACTGTTCGCACTCATCATGGCTGTTGTTATTACTTCGTGGTTTTATTTTTGGGGGGAATGAGTAACATGGGCAGCATGGAATATAATTTTTTTGCTTTTCCCTTGCGTTCAGCTCTACATATTATTTGCTGGCGTCGTGTTTGTTGACGGTTTTGAAAAATCTGCGTTCTTCGAGCGTTGAATAATCTGTACTTCGAACACATTTTTACTATGTTGACAACATTCGTGAAGAATTCGGAAAGACGAGTGCGATGTGTACGTGCGAGTGCCGTTTTCCTAACCTTCAATTTTTTCTTTTACAGAAATGCTTTTTTTATCTCCTTATGTTGTGAACGTGTACAATTTTACCGTCGATGTCGATGTATTCTTTCTGTGTTCTTATCTTACGACTCCGATGTTTTTCAATTTTATGAGAGGTGTTTGCGTGCGTGTCTGAAGTGATTTGTAGAATCGTGCCTTTATTGTCCAGTGATAAGATTCGAGAACCCCCTTTTTGTGTAAACGTCATCTGCATCTAAATGATGGGCTCCCTGAGAAAGCGCACTATTGTATGACGAGTGTTCATGTGCTTTGTGTTGAATTCACAAGCGTAATCTATTTTTGTGCGCTCTATTTAATTGCAGACAAAAAATGCGACGGAACGATGTTACGGAGCGCTTGCTTGAAGCATTCTTTCATATGTTCCATTGGGAATCCGGTGTTCTACCTTGGATATTGATCGGTGAGTTTGAAAGGAAAATTTTAAAATATTTTTAGTCGAAGTTTTAGGAAAAACTCTTTGGAAGAAGAAGACGGTCGACGAAGACGCAGTTCTATTTTTTCTCGTTTTTGCTCTCCTTCAAATTTACAGCACAGTTGATTAAAATACGTATTAAAATATCGTTTCGTGTCGCTATTTTTCACACGTGACAGTTTCTTCCGAACGACTCAGTGTCCATGCATTTTTGACTGGTTTTCATTCACCAGCTTGATTTTTTTTTTTTTTTCGCTCAGTTCTCATAACATTATCTTTGTTTTCAGTTCCTTTTTTGTCCCGTATTTTCGCTTTTCCATAAAGCCTTCTCTCCTACAAAATTTTCTCCATATTATCTCCTCTGAAATTTGCCTTTCCCTGCTGTTTTCTACGCGCCTTCCTTTCCTCATGGGACCAAATCTCAAGTTGCTGGCATAAGTTTAGAATCGATTAGTTTAGAATTGTCTCATAATTCGGAACTGCTGGATGTATGATGATTCATACTTCGCCTGAGAGACGTCTTCAGATGCATTTTGTATTCTGCTAGACTCCGAACATAAGAGTCGTTGTGATGATTCGAATGATTCGTACATGACTGAATATTTATCATATCTATTCGGTATACGAGTTAGTTTGAGAATTGGTTGGTCCGGGTTTCCTTGCATTCGTATATTTGCAGGTCTGGTCGTCCCATTTGTTACCTGGAATGTATTTGAGTCTTTCAAGTGGTGGGCGTTAACAACCATCGTTCTGTTGTATTTCCTGGAATTCGTGTACTTCCGATTTACGGACGGTTGGTGTAAATCCAAAGTGTGCATGGTCGGGAAAACGGTCTTGATCACCGGAGCAAACACAGGTGGGATTCGTTTTGTTATTTGTTATTTTATTTCTATGAAATTACCCTTTATGATTCATCAGGTATAGGAAAAGAAGTTGCCTTAGATCTCGCTTGCCGCGGCGCAAAAGTCATCCTTGCTTGCCGTAATTTGGACAAGGCAAAAGATGCCGCCAGTGAGTTTCCACGTACCTGTGGAGATTTTGATGAATGTTTGTTACCTTAAATGAAAGCTCGTTAAATATCTTTGAATCTTAGATGACATTATAAAGGCGACAGGGAACGACAAGATAGTCGTCAGGGAATTGGATCTCGCTTCGTTTGCTTCTGTTCGCAAATGTGCCAAGGAGGTTTTGGAATCCGAAGAAAGGCTGGATGTATTGATAAACAATGCGGGTATCGCGAATCGTCGCAAGAGGGAGATAACCGAGGATAAACTCGAGCTTGCGATGCAGTCAAATCACTTCGGGCATTTTCTTTTGACTCATCTTCTTTTAGGTAATGGGAAATATTGCTTGAAATTAAGCGGAGAGTGCTATTTGAAAGCAATCATTTGTAAACATGTACAGTATTTCAAAGCACACGAAACACACAAAAACCACCATTAAAGATACTCAAAAACTGGTTGATTAAGTATAATAAAAATTTTTCAAGGTCTTGCAACAACGGATGAAGATGCGAAATAACTTTTTTTATGGGTGTTGAAAGCATCTTGGTGATTCCTTGAAAACTTCGAAAACATGCCCATGCTTCATATTTCAAGGTGGGATCTTCAAACTCCGCTTCATTTTTTTATTGGACTCATTTAATTAACCTAATGCGCTTTCATGTAATGCCCATGGTCCACAATTCGATTGGCGAGTAAAGTTATTTAAACAGACAAATTCATGTCGAACACTTCAATGTCCTAAACTGAGTGAGGTGAAGCGCATGAAATTCCTCATCCGTTCCAGATCCCTTTGAAGTCCATGAATAAATTACTACAGTAGATATCAATCTTTTGTTCTAGTCAAGGTTCAATTTCTGACGCAGAAATTTGTGGAAGCTTAAGACCGTTTTGCGAAAAATCCATCACGAAAAATGTACATCTTTCAGTTTGTCGCTCAGGGTTGGTTGGTTGATCAGGGGCTTCCGCAAACTCTTTCAACCAATTTTTTATTAGACGCAACGTTTGTGATCAGTATCAGTATGGCTGTTCGTGGGTGCCCTCTAAAAGGAAAAATTCAAATCGTCACTACATGAGATATCTCCACCTATTCGTGAATTTTGTTAAGATACAGTACTTTACAGTATTACGATTTATCTTTCAGCAGATCTTTCAGACTTCTCGCATGGGAGACACCACTGAAAAAGTACCCCCCATAATTACGGTGTGCACCGATTCATGTAAACAATTCGCCGAAAGTGATCCCACAGTTTTCGTTCTCCTTGATCTCTGACCTGCGAAACTTTTAAAAAGGCCCTTGTCTTCAAAATAGTGGAAGCAAAGTCTTTGTAACGGATTTACTGACGAGCTCATGACTTTTTGTGCTAACTTTTTAAAAAGCTGATGTATTGGATGTAAAAAGAAAAGTTTCTCTAACTATCCGACCATATATTTAAGCCCGGGATTTCTTTGCTATTCCGTACATGTCATGTAAATATTCCTTTCGTTCATTTATGAATGTAGGTTAACGATTAGGTATTGTCGCGTGGTAGACTTTCGAGAAAGTTTTGTGTTCTAGAAGAGGGAAAAAGTTCCCGTTTCCTTTTTTGATACGCCACTTTTGTTCGCGTGAAATGTAGCAATTCTCGTTTTCCGCAGACCTCTTGGTGAAATCGGCGCCTAGCAGAGTCATAAATGTCACTTCCCTTCAAGCGGGACTGGGGCGTTTTGATGCTGATGATGTTTACGAAGGAAAGCATTTTAATCCACACTTGAATTATCCAGCGACCAAAATTGCCAATGTGATGTTTTCTTGCGAACTAGCGAAGCGTTTGAAAGACAAAGGTATCTTCGAACGTGATTTGACTGTGTAAAGATGATTTCATTTGTCGATTCGTGAACTCGTGATTTTTTTGAAGGAGTGACGGTGAACGCTGCTCATCCGGGGGCTGTGAAAACGCAAATTTACCGACTGACGCCAAAAAGCTTTCTCAAGTATATTATTTTTTCAAGCGTTTGGCCTATGCTAAAGGTAATTCCTCTGTTATTCAGATTGGATATAGGGCTTACGGCTTATCACGAAAAATGATTTTTTTTCTCAGAGTCCAGAAGCCGGAGCCCAGAACATACTTCATTTGGCTGTGAGCAAAGAAGTGGAGGGAATCACAGGAAAATATTTTGCCGATTGCGGGGTGATTTTCATTGTTCGAACTAAATCTGTGTTCTTTGCCGTTGAACTCGCCTTTTTCTTCATAGGTCGCTTGGATGTGCCAAATGGCTAGTGATCCAAAACTTATTGAAGAAATGTGGGAGTGTAGTATCAAAGTCACCGGTTTGGAGAAGACGTCGTGACGTGGGAACTGACGTTGTTCATGGCGTCGATGCAGCGGGCCGCCAATTCATATGGGTTTTTTTGTTGTTTTTGTGTGGATTGGGATTCATTTCGCATTTTGGATGAACCCGTTGAAAAATATTCTTTTGTTCCTTCTTTTTCCCCTTTACAACGCTTGGGAAAATGCGGGTTCAATAATTTCTTGTTTGGGAATAAATTTTGTGCTTCAGAGAACATGAATCATTTGCGTGTTGCAGGCAGGTCAGTTATGTGAGCATTCCTTCAAAACTGGATGTGAGCGGTTCAGGTTATTGATCCTAGAGCTTATGCAGTGATCAACCGTGGGTGGTTGTTGGAATGGTTTTATTGTGCGATGAACGAAATTCAATTGCATTTTCAAGTTTTGAGGATTTTTTTTTCAAACTGAAAGCATCGAATTTGAAGAAATAAAATATTTTTCTACGTTCTGGAATATTGACGCCAAGCATTTTTCTTTCCAGTCAGGTTTGTGCAGTCACAGGGGAAAAATTCACATTCCTTTGTCAATGCATTCGATATGCTGTCGTTCAGGAAAGGTGATGCTTTTCTGGCTGTCCTATTAAAAGCTAAATACTTGTTGTTGTGCTACAGAATGTGGATGAACCAGCCAAGATGAATTTGGAGCATTGCGTAATCTTCCTCCACAATACAAATTCACTGTGAGTGCATAATTTGGATTGCAAGGTTTCAAAGAGAGCATGATTCATTTCTGGACGTGGTTGATGGTTCAGTAAGGTACAAGGGATTCCTACTATGGTCTCAAGTTCTTTGTCCGTTCATTTTACCCCCCCACATTGACATTCATGCTCGCATGCATCTGCTATCAGGTGCTCTGCAATAATTGGAAACTTCAGTCAGAATTCTTATGAAATTTGTCATGTTGCGAGGTCAAGATGAAAGTGGGGACTTTCGTCCTGCGTTCCTTCGAGTGTGGTCTTTTGTCGTTTGTTTGAAACATTTTTCTGGTTCAGCCACGAAAACTCGAAGCGGCATTGTCTCTTGCGTTTGGTCTATCCGACTTTTCAACTTGATGAGAATTGCCAATTCGCAATAACATGTACTGTATTTGCTGTGCGTCGAAAGTTTAACGAACACGTGTTATCTTTCGCTTTCCTTTCGAAGTGCAGATTGAGGTTTAGTGTTGAATTTAAAAATACAAGAGTCTTCCAATGTTGAAAGACAGGAAATTATGTGCTTTAATCATGATTATGTATTCCTTAATTTTAATGCGATATTTTCAACGAACGCCAGCCCTTCATTGCGTTCGATTTAATCACGGTGCATGGAGTGGAATTCTTTGCTCGAGAAGGCCATTTTACATTGAATGGTGCTGTTGCAGAAAGTTTGAGCTGTTCAACGCCGAGCACGAAATCTCTATAGTGAGACCGAGGTTTCTACTTTATGATGAGTTCTTCGGATGAAAATGAGTGCCCCTTGTGCATGGAACCCTTGGAAGTAGACGACATCAACTTTTTTCCGTGTACTTGCCAGTATCAAGTGAGTCAAGTGTTCTCGCGTGTATGTAATTTACTCATCTGCGTATTTCTCGGACAGGTGTGCAGATTTTGTTGGCATCGAATTCGAACTGATGAAAATGGTCTTTGTCCAGCATGCAGGAAACCCTATTCGGAAAATCCAGCCACGTTCAAACCCCTCTCACCTGAAGAGTAAATGTTCATTTCTACCTCAAATGTTGCAACGGAATCACCTAATTTTTTTTTCAGATTTCAAAAGATTAAAACTCAGAAGAAAAAACGTGAAATTCAACGGAAAAGGTGCGGATCTGATAATAGGAAACATCTTGGAAATTTGCGGGTTGTTCAGAGGAACCTGGTGTTTGCCGTTGGTTTAAGTCCTCGTTTAGCTGATCCTGACGTCCTTAAAAAGCAAGATTATTTTGGAAAATTTGGCAAGATAGTAAAGGTTGTGATGAATCACTCATCTTCGTATGCCGGGAATCAAGTATGTTTGCTCCATGAGTCTGTTTTACAGTCCGCTATATACATTTTTTTTCGTGCAGCAACAAGGCCCGAGCGCGAGTGCATACATCACTTTCGCCAAAGCTGAAGATGCACTGAAGGCTATTCATTCTGTGAATAATGTTCAAGTAGACGGACGGACCATTAAGACTTGTTTGGGAACCACTAAATACTGTTCCATGTTCCTCAAGTATTTACCTTGTAGCAAGATGGATTGCATGTATTTACATGAAATAGGCGAGTTTATTGTAACATTTTTGCATCCGGAGTTTTTTTTTTTTACCATATCCTTTGTCTTATTAGGAGACGAGGCGGCAAGTTTTACCAAGGAGGATATGAATCAAGGAAAACACACAGAATATGAGAAGAAGCTTTATGAGATAATGATGAACCAGATCAACACGCAGGCGAACGTTGAGTCGACGAGGAAACCAGTCGCAGGATTGGCTGGAGCATCTGCGGAATCGACCTCTGCGTCAGATACATTCCTTGTTAGACCTCCGCCTGGATCGTCACCAATAGAGATACCCGTACTCCCGGCGAAGAAGACTAAAAAGTAATCACCCTTTCTTCCTTGCACTAAAGCAAATCCTTTCAAATCTGTGATCGATGGTTTCGGAGGAACCCGCAAATTAATACGGGAAGGCTCTCTTTGTAGCGATGGAGGAAAACAAATCACTAGCTGTCGAAGAAATTATGTCGTAGTTTGTCGTGGAACTGCATTGTGCTGAACAGTATTTTTGCGAGGGCCTTTGTAGTGTAATAAGAATTTTGCTTTAGAGAGCATCCACGTGTACCTCTACTTTTAAATGCGTCTCTCATAATGTATGTGGCAATTGATTAAATTCATGAATGTCGCGAAGTGTTCAATGGTTCCCGAATTGTCTGCTGCGCTTGGAATGCGTTTTTATCCAGTACCGAAGCTTTGGGTTTATATATATTTGAAAGTGCTTGGGTATCCAGGAAGAAATCATTTAAATCTGATGAGGTTGTTTATTTATATAGCTGTGAATGTTAGTTTGAATTAATTTACTTTTAACGTTACGGGTTATATCTTCATTTTCAATTATGAATCTACAATGGAAAAGGAATCAACAGACGCAGGAGAGTTAGTAAGAAACACGAATTTTCTCTCATTTTCAGGCGTGGGAAGGAGAAGAAAACGGTTGAGGAGAACCTCAAGGTTAAAGTTCTTGCGCTTGGTGCGTCTTCCGAACGTGCTGCCAGTGAACGAAGGTCAGTGAGTTCAGAAACTTCAAGCGCGGAACGAGGAGCTGACGAATCTGGATCAGATTGCGGATCAACTCCACCAGTAGCCACGTCGTCGGAAGAATTCATGGCAAGAAAACCTGCCTCTCCGTCTGCGTCTCCCACTCGATCTACAGGTGTGTGTTGATGAAATGTACACCTTGAACTAAATAAAACATGAATTAGCGCTTATTAAATATACACCTTGAACTAAAGAAAACTTGAATTAGCGTCGTTCAAGGTATCTGTGTCGTGAGAAATACTCGTCATTTGATCATGAGAAACCAAACGTGGGAAAATTTAAGAAAATCTGGACTGTATACTTTCTTGATGTCCGAAATTCTTCAGTACGCTGGCGACGATCTTGTGGTATATCTGTTGGTGTGGTGTCTACCACCCTTTGTTGTGGCATTATATTTCACCGTTTCCCGGCATCAACCCTACCACTTGCTGCTTGTGGCACCTTTTACCCCTATCTGGTAAATCTGTTGATAGCTTAGCAACGAAAGAACTTAAATGTCCAACGAAGAGGAGAATGATGTCCGGGAATTCCAAAGAAAGTTACTTTTTGTGAAGAGGTTCTTTTACTTTTTTCCGACTTTGGTTTTGTACATCTCAGTATGTGCCTCAGTGAAAGCAGTGGGGCTCTGACAAAAGGATGCCATGGCTTTCTGACAATTTGACTTATAGAAGCTTGAGATGAAAATATCTCAGGATATAGAAAAACATGAATTAATATTTTATGAAATTTCGATATCTCGGAGCAAATTGAGCCACTGTCGAGGTCATGACGACAAAATGAATCCTAATAGCCTGAAAGTTGTAAAAACAATTAATTAAAAACGTTGTGTGTAGCAGATGCTTTGGTCGACGAATGTGTGACGAGCAGTGGCTATACGAGCGGATCATCGGTGTCCTCATCGCTGCAGAACTTCGCCTCGCTGACGAGTTGCCTAGCTCCTGTGATTTCTTCCGATTCTTGCCTTCCGAACGATTCTCTTCCATCATCATCGACATCTTTCACCCCGGATGTGGTCACTAGCAGTGACGTCGTGGCCTCCGAAGTCGTGACCACGACGTCTCCGTCGGAAATGACTGGCTGGATGACCAGCACAGAGCACGAGCTTAACTCCTTCCAGTCGCCGCCCGACGAAGACGACGATCTTGGCTTTGATCCCTTCGCGGAGACTCAGAAAGCTTTCGCAGAAATTCTGAACGATGTGGGTTCCGAATTATTCGAATGTCGTCAAATCTAGAATAGTTAATCTGCAAAATAATATTCAATGGTGCCTCGGTGGAACGGCCTGATTCGTTCCATTCGGAAGGCCGATATAAGAGAACTCTATTTTCCGAGTATTGTGAAACTATCTAGGACGTCCCAACAATTATTCAAATCAAGTTATTCAATTTGAATGTTAAATCCATTCCATTTCGTCCAAAGATTTCGCAACTGCTTATCTATAACAAAAGAACAGCGAAAGAGTGAGAACAATCGACATAAGCAAAAATATGTAATACTTTTTATCCTGGAAAATTGAAATGAAAGTCACGGAAGCTGCTAATGTTCTTCAGAACTCGGAAGACGATCATTACCATCCAGTCTATTATCCGAAGCAGAGTCCACTTCATAAAAATGAAAAAAATAAAAATGGTGGCAGACCTTGTCCAATATAAAAAAATTAATTATGCTAGGCGTCCATTTTCTTGGATTCCGCTGTGAATGCAATTGATTGACCATTGTTATTCCAGGAGGCGGCTGAGGCAGCGAATGCGGCTCAGCTTCGCGTGGGAGACAGTAGCGAAAACTCGAAACTTTCAGTTCCCCCGGGCTTCGGAAATGATTCAGGGCTGAATTTGGGGTCGACGCATAATCTTTCAAGTTTTACTGAGAACTCAGGTGAGCTTCTAACGTCCTGTTCTATCCCTGATTATCTGAATGATGGATAAATTTTTCGTACTTGATCAGTTTCCGTGATTGCGAAACACTGATGTAATGAGTCTGAAGATGTTGATATGTTATGCTGTAATCTTAATTCTTGTGCTGTACGGCGAATTGATGCAATCGCTGTTCGTCTTGTTTTTTCAGTTCCGGAAACCGGAAGCAAGTTTTTGCCTTTCTTGCTCAGAAATCGAGAAACTCCTCCGTCACAGTCATTGAATCACCCAGACCACGACACTTCCTCTCCTGTTGGAAAACTTCTCGCTTCGCTCTCAAACCTCCACAATAATAACAACCAGAATTTCTCGCAAACTCATCTTGGTCATCAGCAACATTCTCTGCATTCACAGCAAATGAGACACCAACACCAAACCCCTCATCAACTTCATCAGCATTTTCATCATCGTACAGTGGAGCAGAATCGTCACGAAAGCCTTCCTGTGCTCTCGTTCCTGCGATCAAGAGGATACGCTTCGGGATGTTCGGATGTGCAGGATGCAGAGTCTGCGATGAATAATTGGCAGGATTGGGAGAGTAGTTTGCGGAACATGTTTCCGTCTGGTGCTGGGGCGAAAGCCGGACCTCCTGGGTTCAGTGGGGCGAATGTTGGGGGTTCCAGTTTGGGACAGAACATCACTAGTAAGATACTTGGTTAGTGGTGACCGTTTCTGTTCAGTTCAATTCGAATTGCACTGTACAGCATTATGATAAATATCATGATTTTCGCATTTTTCAGTTCCAGCCTTGACTTCTCTTTTTCTAAATCATCATTTTATGGCAACCATGACACCAGTATCATTAGCCTCCATTACCTAGTTAATTTTATTCACTAGCGCATTGAGAGTGAACAGACGCTGCGTATGGGTGGGTTTAACGTTCAACTCCTAATTATTATTTTCAGAATTCAATCTGATCTTCCAAATACAGTATTATCATTGAAGTAAGAGAAAAATTGAATTCCTCATTTAAAATGAATTCCACCATGAGAAGTTTTGGGCGACATTGAGCGCAAGACAGGCACAATTTTTATAATAATCATCTTATTGTATTTAATTTTATATCTTAATCGAAACGAAAGCGAACATTTCGATTCTTTTCTTATTTTTTCTTAAGTGTTACGTTATGCTGAACAGGCGAAAGGTTACGAAATTGATCAACTACGAAATTCCGACCTGAAGCTTCGTTTCTTCGAGTATGGGTTATGTACGGTATTGATGAATGCAGTTGTGTTGATGAATGCAGAATGTAGCCATCGTACTTTTGCTGTTTTGTTTGAACGATGAAGGAGAACATTTTGTTGATGAAATTGTGCTGCTAATTCTGTATATTTACCAACGTGATCAAGTTTTTTTTTTTTTTGACAGATGACTGTCTTGGTCCCCAACACACGAGAAACATGGGAGGCGGAGGTGATTGGCAAGACCTGGATCCTGCGATCGTGTCCACTTCTCGTCACATACGCCACGATTCTGGTCGTCACTCGCCACCTTCCTGGTTGCTGCCGAGTCTAGAGCAATTAACAGCCGACTGCCCCTCGGATTCGTTATCTTCGCTGCAGCGATTCCAGCTTCAGCATCATCAGCGACAACGGACCAACTTACCTCCCGGCCTGGGCTCCAGTTCTTGGATGTCCCAGGCTCCGCCAGGTTTAGCACAGTTCGGCAACCCCCCGCCTGGGTTCGCTGGCGGAGGTAGCAACAGTAGTGGGGGTGGCGGAATCCCGCACTCTTTCCAGAACCCGTTTTCGTCGCATCAAGCGTCGCACGGGTTCCGCGGCCTACCGCAGGACATTTTTGCCGACAGACGTGCGCTGGAGAGCTGAGAGTAGCTTCAACTTATGTACGAGTTATGTCCCTTTTGACGTCTTCGGCGCATGCGCGATTTCTTCGTGTATTATTATTTTTTAGTTCTCTTTAAACATACGACTGTTGCATGCAGAGTTTTCGTTATGGAATGATAAGCAAAAACGAATATCTTTTGAAATCCAATCGCGTACCCCGTTCTTGTCGCGTAGTCCGTGATAATTCAATTAAACGTCGATAGTTTGACCTCAAGGGTTCTATGAACATGAATTTCATTTGGAGTCGAAGTGCCGAAATCTTTTATGATCGAATTAACTAACGCTCAGCTACAGCTCTTTGACATAAGTTTACCATAAATATGGATGCTGCCATATAATCAGGGATTTCCGTAGCCGAGTTCGCCGTAAGATTTTTTATTTCTGGTTTTATCGCTTCGCTCGTCATCTCGGTCTTTGAAGCATCTGGCGATAAATAATCGTTTCATCATTGGTTATATTCAATTGTGCGAACAGCTTAATCTTGAAAATTTTGTAAATTACTTGCGAAAATCGTAAGATCGATTTCACATTGCTGCGAAACCCATTGAAGGAAACCTGGTTTTGCTTGCATGAATGCGCCAGGATTTTCAACGAGTTTTTGATTTCTTCACAGCTGCTGTTTATCTTCAAAGGAATGTAGAACAAAACGCATTTTTTTTTGGTTGGTGCAATGTTTCAGTCGGAAAGGAAAATCTTGTTGAGCCGGTATATTTTTCTAAGTTGTAGTTACGTTGCCCGTTAACTTCAAACGCTCGTGCTCATCACTAACGCCTTCTCAGATTAAGTCAGTGTCTTGGAAATTAACGATTTTATCTTTTTTTATCGAAAGCACTTACGCGATGAACTTCCATTCGTTCGTAGCTGAAGGCTACTCGTGCTCAGAGCTCCATAAACTTTACATGTTCGAATTAATCGTTTCACTCGGGACCGTCATAAATTGTTTCAAGTCGGAAAAACGTTTCGATTCGCGTTTATCTTTGCAGTGATATTTTCTCTTTGCCGCGCGTGCGACGAGAGATGTCGACGAAGACTTCGTGATGTGTCTTTCTTTGTAATCGACCCATTATGTCGGGTTCAAATTGGCTAGAAGTCCGCTCCTCGACATGAAATGTCGCTGTCGCGGTTGGTTCGACCGAGGAGGAGAACGTGTCTGTACCCTGTTTTTTTCGTGTGTGTGTGAATGTCCTATTGCCGACAGATAATGTTCTGCCATCGGACGGGATTTGTGGAAGTTCTTGGCCCGTTCCGGAGGGGCTCATTTCTTACTGGAAGGATTATAATAAGTGTCCTGTCCTGTCCTGAAAAAAAATGCTACCGTTGTTTCGAAGTTCTCGTTTTTCTCTAAATAGGACCTTTCGAGAGGTAAGTTGGTGATTCGCCGGAAAGCGTTTGACGGGTATAATAACCCTGTGCTAACGATGATACCTGAGGCCGCGAGACTTGTGTGGGCAAGAACCAGTGAATGTAGGAGGTGATCTGTTCTATTAAACATTTTTTTAATTCAGTACATTACTTCTGGTCTTCCCGTATTTTCCGGTGCCTCGTATGTTCAGAACTTCATGCATCACTTGAACGAGTAGTTCATCGGTGAAAAAAATATTAAAAGCAAATACTGTGAGTTTGTCTGTGTAATAATTCTCATTTGGTCTCCCTGAGTTCTCTCCCCAAGTTATAGGGGTTCTGTAAAATTTATTTTTTCTGTTCGCTTGCATTTTGTTAAGGAGAGCCCAACTATGTATAGTGCTACCCTAATGACAGTCATTTCAAGGTGAAGGCTGAATGTGTAATATAGAAGCCATACTTGGGAACAGCAAAAGACCCATTTAACATAATCCACAATGCGAAAATCGCCTGTACAACCGCGTATAACTTAGTATCGGGTTCATAATCACTAGTTCATCAATCGCATTCATTTCATGATTAGGTCCCGAATGTATAGACTCTTCCAAGGGCTGTTTTCTGAAGCGTTTTTTGCTGTTACTCCGGGCCATATGATGACGATAGGCTATATTATTCGAAGCGTACAGTCATTTACCAGCTGATAACAATGCTCGTTGTGTAGTACAGCCGCGGGATTTTATCTGGATGTTCATTGCCAGCGAAATTTCACGGGTTGAAGTCCATCAAAATTACCAGACGAATCACCATGCTATGCGGTCTGAATGCGTTATTCTTTTCCCCCTCTCCCGTTTGTAGATCACAGCTTGTCTGGGTGTGTTGACCGCGCGAGCTTTGTTGAAGGAACCGCGATATAAACCCCTCGAAATGCAAATAACAATCGTTGGTTTTGTTGAATGTGAACCGATGTCGATGCACCGCACCGGCGGAGCTTCCATGCTGGCATTCAGGAAGGTATATGCTCTCATGATCGGGCCCCGTTTCGAGAAAAGGAGCGAATCCTGCTGAGCTTTTCTTGTCCGGTCATCGACGTTGGAACAATGGGATTCCTCCTACGAATGCAAGACATAGAGCTTGACAGGTGAGAGCTGCCGTCGATTGAATAACTTACGCCGTGGAACACGATTTTTCGCTCAGCATGTTTCATGCTGGTAAAGGGAGACCGAATACTTGGGTCATATAGCTTTTTTAAAGTTCTTTGAATTCCATCTAGTTTGAATGTAGGGCGTTGATCAAACGGCGTGAATAAGTAAACAAATCAAGTGAGTGCGACCAGATACATAAGTGCACTTGGAAATCACGGTTTCTTCCCTCCCTTGATTTGTGCTTCTTTTTGCCGCTCCTATCTAGTATGAGAGCGATGCTGTACACTAAGAAGGTTATGCGGATTTTCGGTTAATGCGTAGATCGAGAGGGATGAAAACATGTTTACAGATTTTTTTGGTTGCTCCGGAATTTTGATCCCCGATTGTTTCAAATGCGCGAACAATTAAATTTCATTCAGTTGCTTTCTCCATAATTTTGATGACAGTTTGGTGAGAGCAACCCAGCAATAGCAGATGAGCTGCTGGGTTCCTCGAAGTTCCTGTCGAGCTCGGAGTTCCTGTTGAAATTGTTATTCTCGCTTTTCAAAAATTTTCCACTACTGCTGCAGATAGACAGGCTCATTTATTATAAGTGCTTTATCCGAACACGCTGAGGTCATTCATATCCTGCTGGATATCGTAAATTTAAACCATAACACAGAAGACGAAAATCACGAAAGCCATTCCATTTTTCAAGAATTCCTTGTTCCATATATGTACCGCATAAAGGTACTGCATAAATACATCCGATCGGCTAATACTGGCTTAGTATCACACAGAAAAAGCTCCGTTTTTCTCGCCTTTTCTCGTCGTCCAGTTAATGTTGGGTGTGAAGATATACTGTATGTTTATACTGTATGTTCAGTAATGAAGAATCGTTGATTCCAGTTTAAAAATAAATATATTACTGCATATAAAGGTCCAAAAGTAAGTACAGTATATTGAATTGAATTGAACAGCAAGCTTTATTTTTTGCTTTTCAGTGTTCAGCACAAATGTTCAAGCAACTTTCCCACATCCAAACCCCCTACCCTCCCCACCCAAATTCATCCAAACACATTCCATCAAACCAGAATTGGAAACAGAGAAATAAACTTTTATGGATATTGAAAGAAAATAAAATGCATGCAAAAAAGTAAAATTGCTCTACTGTTGTATTTTTTTTAATCTGCAGGGAAGGGAAGAAAGTTTATGTATTTATATACAGTATATATATCAGTAATAAGAATTGCAGCATAAAGCAATTACTGAACCCAAATTATATAATATAATTATATTATATTTTGACTGCTTGCGGTGCAGTATACAAATATGTATTGAGTTTGATGTCATCAATGCAGGTCATAATGATATTACCGTACGTTTGTAACAGCAGACCCGCGGAGATTCTCCGTTCCGAAGTGAGTTGTCGTGCAAAAATATGAATAAATCAAGATCTTATTTTTGTGAGAGGTTGGTGTTTTCTTAAGCAGGAAATGTATGGGTTTTTTTTATATGTACCCTATATTTGCGTGTCCAGTGCGTGGGATTTCGAAAACTCCCGTCATTCAGCAAGAACTTGAATTATTTACGCAGAAGAGATTGATGAAGGCTTTCAGGTCCTTATACATATTCTGGTTTCAATTCGCTTCTTTTTTGTTCGCTTTTGTATATATTGTATATATATATGATGAGTAACGATATCCGACATCCACGACGGCGAAGTCGCGTAAATCACTCTATTCAAAATCTTCGGGTTAGACTCAAAGAAGTACTGTACTTCGAGTTGCTGAATCCCGTTAAGAATATACCAGCTGAATGTTCCCAAAACACTATTCATATACATATAGATACGCGCGAAGCCCTGGTCTATATTTAAATAGAGCGGTGGAATTTTCTTCCTATATATATTTATATATACTGTATACATACTTCAATGCATATATGATGCTGTATTTCAAAAAAATAGGAATTTTATACTCTGTACCATACCTACACAGTATATAAATGCGATGTAATATAAATGGCATTCGAGAGAAATAGAGGGTTGAGATAAAGCGTTAAATGCATTACCGTGTGTATATATACGAGAATACGAGTGTAATGATCATCTGCGTAAATTCCCACGAGTCATGTTTTATTGATGAGTAAATTATACCTATTAAAACAAGCCTACAATTCAGTATACTGTACAGTATATTTTGGAAAAAAAAACGTGAAACACAAACACTTTTCCTAATTCAAACTGACAAAACAATATGAAGAGTACGTCATCATCCCCGTTGAAATTCTCGTCGGACTCGTAGATTTGCGAGCAAAATAATGATTGCTTGCGCGAGATTGTCCAAATATGTGTATCCGTTGAATCATGAATAATGAATTTAGGACTGCAAACAAGTACCCGCTTTTTTAAACAGTTTTCCAGCATTAATTTGAATTCCTATAATAAACGGATTTCACTTGGAATGAATCATGACTGCAGATATTTACAACGGTTAATTTAAGCATAAATTTAAATTTCTACAATAAAAGGATTTCACTTGAAATAAACGATAACTGATTTTTCAAACAGTTTTCTTGCATTCATTTAAGTTCCAGCAAAAAACAAATATTATGGCTTTCTTTCGTCTATGACAACGAATAATTGTACCAGCCATTATCCTTGCTGTCTCTCTTGTGTAGTAAAATTGTTACTTTCCTGAGAAAATGATCCCCTGCCGTGACGATAAACTTTGTTTTCTTGCATCCAATAATTTCTAAATTCGATTGGTGGCAATTATAACTGTTGAAGTCACCCCTTGTGGCTAGATGTCGTTGATGCTGGGAGCGATTCTTGTCGCCGATTACGCGGAATTACGTGATAAGAAGGGCGCTGGTCTGCTCAGCAGTCCGCTAAGATGCGTGCGCGTTGCCTTCGCTCGAATTCTCCGTTCAATGGAACACCTTTACAGTAATACTGTACTTGACAAACAAGAAAAAGAAGAAGCGAGAGGAAATTAGGCTAGCCCTCCTCGCCTATCGCGGATCGATCATTCGCCACAGAAGGCACGCGAGTGCGGGGCGATAAGGGTGGCGAGAATAATGAGGAGAACGGTTATAAGGGATGCTGCCGGGGTTTCTCTTTTTCTTCCTCCGAGAACTTTTGGGGAGAGTCTCCTTTCGGGTTGTGCCACAGTCCGGTTTTGGAAACCGAGTCCGTCGTGAGTGCTTCACCTGTTTTTTCTTTCTTGCTTTCTTCTTCTTACGTATATTTCTTCAACTTACTCGTAACACTTGAATTCATCACGAGTGCTTCAGGACTATATTGGCTTTACGACTGTGATGTCCTTTTTTAAAAGTGCGTCTTATATACCAGTGTTATCCAACCTTTCTGGTCCGGCGAACCAATAAATTTCCATAAAATTTTTATTGCGCCAGAAAATGTCCATTAAACTTTTTGTGGACTGGGGAATAAAAAAAAAAATTTCAGATCCTAAAACGTTTTGTTTGAAAGATTTTATGGCAGTGATTTGAAAAAATCCTGTTTTTTTTCTTTCAAAAATTAAGTTAAGAACCATTGAAAAAATTAGAAATGTAGCCTTGACAAAAGGCTTCTCAGGACGAAAAATTAAAATAACTTTTTTCAGCATGGGACATTTTTTGGAAGTTTTTTTTACCAGAAGAGTCAACTTTTATTTTTCATCAGATGATTTCAACTGCCAGTGTCTTTCCAAAATTCCAGGCTAAGATAAAAAACTTCATTGCTACTTTAATAAATTTATTATGCTGAAGAAAATTTCTGGAGGACCAGAAAAACCACGGGTTGGGAACACTGATATACAAGTATAATAGTTTACAGCAGTGAAGTACTTAGTTAATTACAGAA